GGTGGATGTACTGTTGTATCAGATTTCCTAGTGTTTGGTTTAGGATTTTTGCATCTGTCTTCATCAGAGACATTAGTCTGTAGTTCTCTTTTTTTTATCATCTTTGCCAGGTTTTGGTATCAGGGTTATATTGGCCTCATAGAATGTGTTAGGAAGTATTACCTCTTCAATTTTTGGAAGAGTTTAAGATGGATAGGCTTTAAACCTTCTTTGAACATTTGGTAGAATTCACTGGTGAAGCTATCTGGTCCTGGACTTTCGGGGGGGAGTGTTTTTGATGTTTGTTTCAATTTTCTCACTGTCAATGTGTTGTTGTTTTTTACTATGGGTTATTTGTGTGTGTGTGTGTGTGTGTGTGTGTGTGTGTGTGTGTGTGTGTTTAAGTATATTTTTATTGATTTCAGAGAAGAAGGGAGAGAGAGAAACATAAATGATGGGAGAGAATCATTGATCGGCTGCCTCCTGCATGCCCCACTCTGGTGATCAAGCCTGCAACCAAGGCCTGCCCTGACCCAGAATCAAACTATGACCTCCTGATTTATAGGACAATGCTCAGTTACTAAGCCATGCCAGTCAGGCCCTTATGTATTTTTTGCATTAACCCCTTATCTGATAGTTAGTAAATATGTTTTCCCATTCTGTGGGTTGCCTTTTTATTCTCCTAATTGTTTCTTCTGTTATGAAGAAAAGTTTTAGTTTGATGTAGTACCAACCACTTGTTTATTTTTTGTTTTGTTGCCTTTGCTTTTGGTGTCATATCCAAAAAATCTTTTTCAAAATTAATGTCAAGGAGCTTCCCCCCTATTTTTCTTTTAGAAGTTTTATGGTTTAGGGTATTATATGTAAGTGTTTAGTCCATTTTGAGTTAGTTTTTGTGAGTGGTGTGAGTTAGAAGCTCGTTTCATTCTTCTGCGTGTGGATAACCAGTTTTTCCAGCACAGTTTATAGCAGACTGTCCTTCCTCCCATTAAGTCCTCTTGGCTCCCTTGTCAAATATTAGTTGACTGAGTAAGTATGCGTTTATTTCTCGGCTCTTGATTCTGTTCCATTGGTTTGAGTTTATTTTTATGCCAGTACCAGACTGCTTTGCTGACTGTAACTTTGCAATATAGTTTTACATCAGGCAGTGTGATACTGTCAGCTTTCTTCTTCCTCAGCATTGCTTTGCCTATTGAAAGCCTTTTATAGATCTCTATGAATTTTAGGATTGCTTTTTCTATTTCTTTGAAATATGTAGATGGCTTTGCGTAGTATGAACATTTAACAATATTAATTCTTCCAGTCCATGAACACAGGATATCTTTCCATTTATGTGTGTCTTCAGTTTTTCTCCAATATTTTATAATTTTCAGGGTAATGATCTTTTACTTTCTTAATTACATTTATTTCTAAGTATTTTTAAATTTTTAATATTTTAATTTTAGTGATCATGTCTTTGCTGCCGACCCAGTGATGCCTTGGGGGACTGATTAAATGTGCAAGTCCCTGCCCTGCCCCTGCACAAGGCCCTTGTCTGGTGCACGAGCAGGGCCCCATGCCTACTTCCATGACTTCGCTCTTTGTCTTATCTTACCCTATCAGTCATCTCAGTTCTGCTCCTGTGGGCCTTTCCTCACTTCATAGCTGTACACTCAAACACTGTTCACAGTTACCCCAAGTAGGATTTAGGCAGAGGTCCTGAGGGGGCTCTCTGCTTGGGCATGAACTGGAAACATCTGTTTCTGATTGCTTGGAGGCACCTTCTGCTTACTCCTGGGCTTTGGCTCCATTCTAGAAAATTGCTGCTGTGTGTTTCATGCCCTGCAACCCACAGAGACAGTTTTCCAGGGGCCTTTTTTGGCAGAGTGGCATGAAGTGGGCCTTGCCAGCCAGAGAAGACCTCCCACGTCTCCTGCTTTTCTAGGCTGTGGCTGCTCTGTAGCACATGCCACCTCTGCCCAGGGCATTGCCAAGCCTATGTAGCTGAGCCCTGGAGTATCTAACTTTAAAATCTGCTCCAGGGAAGGAGAAACCAAGATGGCAGCATAGGTAAACACCTGAAATTGCTGCCTCACACACCACTTCAAAACTACAACTAAAAAACAAAACAGACATCATCCAGAACCACAGGAAGGCTGGCTGAATGGAAATTCTGCAACTGGAAGGGAAGAGAAAAGCATAGTGAGACTCAGAGGAGGTGCGGGAGTAAAGTATGGAAGCGTGGGGGGGGGGGAGGGCTGGCAACTGAGGACACTGTTGTCTTTTTCAACCGTGAGGGAGACACAAGCTCCCGACTGCTCTGAACCCCAATTCCTCGCGAGACTCGGGGGACCCAGACTCATGCAGAAAGAAACTGGGCTGTCTGGCATCAGGCGGAACTCCAGAGTGGCTTTCTCTCTGAGGTGCTTGCAGCGCTTACCATGGGACACTGAGACCCAGGGGCCTCTTAGGGCAGGGCTGAGGATCCGCCAGAGCTGTTTGCCCCACCCCGTTAATTCCCTGAGACCCCGCCCACCCTAGGTATGCGCAGAGGCTTTTGCATATGAATGGCCTGGCCCTTTGCGATCTAAAATTACCTAACAAACTGTAGCTGGGTCAGAGAGACCCAGAACATACAAAAGAAGGCCAAAGGCCCCACAGCAGCTTGCATTGCTTCACAGCTGAGCCTCATCTGGGCACCTCCAAACCCCAAACAAAGAAGAGGAAACTGCAGATCTCTCTGTAGCTCCTGCTGGGTAGCCTCAGGCAGAGGCTAAATTAATACCTCCTTAGAGTTCCAAGAGCCAGTGTACCCAGTGGTCAGAGTGGGGCCATACAGATTACAACTCCTCAGATCCATAAGGGACACACTCAGGGGGCAGACTCAGGGAGCACCAAAGCCACACTGAAGCAAGTCTTGCCCCATAGGGGTGTCTCCAGCACAGAATTTTCCCATCCTAAACACAACTGATTCTCACAGCCAATTGGCCTGGAGGTCAATTCTTCCCAGTGATACCAACAACAATCAAGGCTTAACTACAACAAGACTGTGTGTAAAGCCCACAAAGGGGTGCACCAAGAGTGTCCACCTCAGGTAAGTGGGGAGGCTGAGCCACTGGTCCCTACAGGACACCTAACACACAAAGCCACTCTGTTAACTCAGGGAAGCAGCCAAATGCAGAGACAAAGAAACAGGTTACAAATGACAGAAATGGAGGAAAACAAACTACTGGATATAGAGTTCAAAACCACAGTTATAAGGTTTTCAAGAATTTTCTAGAAACCGCTGATAAATTTAGTGAGACACTCAAGGATATGAAAAAGAACCAACTAGAAATTAAGCATACACTGACTGAAATAAAGAATAATATACAGAGATCCAACAAGAATCAAGTCAAAGATTTGAAATACAAAGAAGCAAAAAACACCCAACCAGAAAAGCAAAAAGAAAAAGGATCAAAAAACATGAAGATAGTGTAAGGAGCATCTGGGAAAACTTCAAGCGTACCAACATTCACATTATGGGGTTGCCAGAAGAAAAGAGAGATCAAGATACTGGAATCCTATTTGAAGAAATAATGACAGAAAACTTCCTCTATCTGGTGAAAGAAATAGACTGACAAGTCCAAGAAGCACACAGAACCCCAAACAAAAGGAATCCAAAGAGGACCACACAAAGGCACATCATAATTAAAATGCCAAGAGCAAAAGACAAAGAGAATATTAAAAGCAGCAAGAGAAAAGCATAATGCTTCCTGCAGGGACTGAACTGTTCCGTCACTTGAGCATGTACTGCAGCCTGTGGAATGGCATCTCAGCATCAAAGTTCTCATTTACTGGCTCCTCCCCTGTGCTAGGTGCTTGCGTGGCAGCATCACTATAGTTCTGGAAGGGAGTGCTCATGTGCCCACTTTACAGATGGCGAAGCAGAGGCTCAGAGACTTGCCCTGGACCACTCAGAAAGTGGTGGAGCTGAGATTCAAGCCCACACTGGCCATCTAGCCAGAACCCACACACATCTGTGCTTTTCTGACAGGCTCAGGCCTGTGTAACTGATTGTCCCAGATGGGACGAGTGGGCAGGGTTTGGAAGGATGCATGACCTTAAACCCTAATGGCAGCAGAAGCCCACAAACCAGTTATTAAAGGTGGAAAGTCATTTTCCATTTTAGTTGCAAAAGCAGAGGTGTGGTGTATGTGTGTGTGTGTGTGTGTGTGTGTGTGGGTGTGTGTGTGGGTGTGTGGGTGTGTGTGTGGGTGTGTGTGTGTATGTGTGTGTGTGGGTGTGTGTGTGGGTGGGTGTGTGTATGTGTGTGTGTGGGTGTGTGTGGGTGTGGGTGTGTGTGTGGGGGTGGGTGTGTGTGTGTGTGGGGGGGGTGTGTGTGTGGGGGGGGTGTGGGTCTGTGTGTGTGTGGGTGTGGGTGTGGGTGTGTATGGGTGTGTGTGTGTGGGTGTGTGGGTCTGTGTGTCTGTGTGTGTGTGTATGTGTGTGGGTGGGTGTGGGTGTGGGTGTGGGGGGGGTGTGTGTGTGGGGGGTTGTGTGTGTGTGTGTGTGTGTGTGTGTGTATGTGTGTGGGTGGGTGTGTGTGGGGGGGGGGTTGTGGGGGTGTGGGTGTGGGTGTGTGTGGGTGTGGGTGTGTGGGTGTGTGCTTCCTCATATTACTAGGGCAGACAACTCCCTGGACAATTCTTACTGTCACAGCAGCCTTCCCTGTGACAGAGCATGTGTCCCGTTGGCTAATGCCACACACCCAATGGCCCAGAGGGAGGACAAAGTGCTGATTTTTAGAGACCACTCAGTCATTTCATTCCCACTTTCCCTGCTCCGGTGAAAGTGATGCCTAAATGAACAACCAACGACCTGATTTGTGTGCGGGGCAGGCAGCAGGGGACTGCCTCCCCCTGAGGTATGCCTGGATTACTGGGTGAGGATGCGGTGTGGTTAGGCTGGTTCTAAAGGAGCTTGGCGGGGAGATGTTCGGGGGAAGGAAAAGGTGGAAACTCCGCAGGCATGTGTGGTCACCTCTGCTCCCTCCGCACCAGGTGCTGGAGACCTGTGTGAAGAACTGCGGCCACCGCTTCCACATCCTCGTGGCCAACCGAGATTTCATCGACGGCGTTCTGGTCAAAATCCTCTCTCCCAAGAACAACCCGCCCACCATCGTGCAGGACAAGGTGCTGGCCCTGATCCAGGTAGGTCAGCTCCTCTTGGCTGTTTGTGGGCCCGCGGTGAGTCCGCATGCTTGGCCATCCTTTGGAAGGAAGAATGGAGGCTTCTGGGTTTCGATGTCCGTTGCATAACGCTTCCTTTCTACACTCATCCCCTGCAATGGAACCTTAAGTGCGGCTCTCCAGCCAGTTGACAGAGCTTCACGGCCTGGGTGCCTGGCCCGCTGCGGCCCACAGGGCAGGCAGGGCCTTGGCAGGACTCTGAGCCTCAGGGACAGGGTGGCGTAGGCAGGGCCATGTCAGAGGAGCGTGCAGGCTGCTGAGTTCCAGGGGCAGCTGTGGGGCTGCAGGGAGGAGGGGCCGGTGGTGTTGGGAGTGACTGGCTGAGGAGAGGAGGACTCCTTTGGACCCTGCAGGATGCTGAGGAACTTGGTGGAAAGGGCAGAGTGGGAAAAGCATAGCAGCAAAGACAATAGCAAATACAAAGGCCGGATGCGTCAGCGAGGGCAGTGACACATTTGGGTGCATCATTATTTGCTCTGTAACAAACTCTCTCGAGGCGTAGCATTTTAACATGGATGGTCATTGTCTCCTGTTTCTGTGGGTCAGGAGTGCAGGGAAAGCCTGCTGGCGCCTCTGGCTCGGGGGCCCTCTGGAGGCTGCAGCGAAGGTGCTGCCAGGACTGCCTGGTCCAGCGCAGTGGGAGCTGCAGCAGCCTGTCCACGGGGCTCCCCATAGGGCAGGGCAGCGCTCAGGCCTTGCTGACCGCTGGGAGGAGGCCTGAGTTTCTCCCATGGGGACCTCCTGAGTGTCCTCATGACATGGCAGCCGGTTCTCCCAGAGCAGAGGACCCAGAAAGCATGAGGAGGCTGTGGTGCCTGCTGAGCTGTGCCTCACAAGTCACACTGCACCTCCGTGGCCAGTCTGTTTGTTAGAAGGGAGTCGTCCGGTCCAGCCTCAGGAGTGGGAAAGTTAGTGGTTCCTCTTAAAGAGAGAGGGTCCAGACTGCCCCCGCAGATAGAGTGTAAGGAAGACTGGGGGGCGGAAGACAGGACAGAGAGATAGTCAGGGCTTACAGGCCACATGGCACTGAGGAGCGTGTGCCTTATCCTATGGGCAGCGGGAGCTCTTGGATGTTTCTGAGCTGGCTGAACAGTCAAATCTGGTTTTAGACCGACACCGTGGTACGTACGTGCGTCACAAAGCACGTCCAGTGCGGACGATTGGTGCTGTCATACAGCAGATAACCTGCAGTGCCATGAGGAGAGGGAAGAGAGCTGGAAGGAGGACTGGGAAGGCGGGCAGGTGGCTAGGGGCAAGCTTTGGAGGCAGTGTGGCAGCCCAGAGGAGAGAGGGGCCTGAGCCAGGGAGCGCTGGCTCTGTCCTGCCTGCGCCTGTGCCTGCATCCTCCCAGCACGTGGAGCAGACTTCCACACTCAGCCTCAGAGCCTCCCACCGCCTGGCTTGCAGGTGTCACCCTCTCTCCCGTCACTCTCTTATGCTCTTCACGTTCCTCCACGCCAGCTTTCCCACCACCTCCCCGTCTGAGCTCTCCGCGAGCTGGGCCACTTCATCTCCGGGGTCTCAAGCACTTGACCACAAACCCTCATTCTGTGTGTCCGGCCGCTGCCTGTGAGACCTCACCGCGCACTGGTTGATGCCCAGCTCACTCCCCTGCCCCCGGTATTTGTATCAGGAAAGTGAATGGGGACTTTTTCTTACAAAACATAGGACATCTCCGCCTAAGCTGTGCATGCCCCCAGTGACATGGGGGAGGTCTCTGGAGTCAGACTGGAGTCCTTCCTGCGGCCAGACCAGTGGCTGTCAGCTGCCCCTGCAAGCACAGCACAGTGAGGCCATGATCCCCACTTCCTCTGCTGACTGTGGCCCCTGGCTCTCCCTGGGGACACCAGCCCGGCACCCCCACCCCTGCCCGTCAGACTCACCGCCTTCCCAGCACTACTTCTTCCCAGTGGCAAACCTCTACCTGCTTGTGTGTAAAATGGGCCTGCGTTCCTGCCTTTGTACTCCAGCCCTGCTCTGTGCGATGGTCCGAGCAGCCCGTGGCCACACCCATGCTCCGAGGACAGCCCTCCGGCCTGGCAGCAGCATGTGCTCCGCCGACAGGGGCTGCTGGGATGGGCCTTGAGGTCCCGCTGAGAAACCTCCAGGGGCTTCAGATCAGGACACGTCCCGTGGGCTTAGTAACCTCACGGGCAGTTCTCCTGCTCAGCGTCTGAAGCTTCCTAAGAACTTCGTCGCTCATGGCTGTCGCTCATGGCTAATAACGGAGAAGCACAGGCAGCGTTCGGAGTGGGGGTGGCTTGGCTTGTCATGGGGTGGAAAAGGAATAGAAAGATCAGCCTTTTCTTTTACTTTTCATTGATCTGTATATACAGGAAGTCACATACTTGAAAAGCATATACAACTTGATAAATTTTTATACACTGAATATACATGTAACCCGCATGGGGAGTCAGGGGGGCCATCCCAGGTGTGGGGCTTGGTGGGTGTGTGTCACATTCCACTTCACAGCACAGGGCAGAGCGGGGCTCTCCTGTGGAGCTTCACCTGCAGTCTGTGCCGGCGCTGCTGTCTGTGTGTCTGTGTGTCCGGCCGCTGCCTGTGAGGCCTCACCGCGCACTGGTTGACCACGGCTCCCTTTCCCACCGCGCACCTTGCTGCTGGGCCTGCGGGGGCCGTGCTTAGCATCCTCCGCTACAGAGGGCGCTTGCTAGTCAGGGCTGGTACGAAAGGTGCTGCTGGGAGCCTCTAGCATGTGTCCTTGGTGACATGTGTCACTTGGTTGGGTATCTGTTGGTCCAATAGGTGAAACTGCCATCTTTGTTGGTCAGAATGGTAGAATATTAGCAATTTCGGAGAGTTCAGCCTCACAGCTAGGCGTGCAGTTGCTGGTGGTAGAGAGTGCCCACGCACTGGGTCATAGTGCTATGACCTCTTCACGTCCTCACCAGTGGGCGGCATCTTCTTCATCACAGTGCTTCTGATGAGTATGCCGAGGCTGTCACCCTTTGAAAAGAAGGTGATTTTATTTGCATATTAAATGCAAAGAAAGCCTCCCAGAGAGTCTGGTCATTCCCTGGGAGAGCAAGTGCTGCTCCCACGAGAGACAGGGAGGGGCTGGGGTGCCAGGCCGCTGGCTTTGGCCGGCGTGGGAGTGCAGCAGGCCCTCGTGTCAGTGCAGCCGGAGTGAGTGTGGGTGCAGAGCCACACTGCGGCCACTCTCCCTCCCGGACCCTGCTTTCTGCTCTCCATGCCCAGCTGCTGGGAAGTGGGCCGGCCAGTCCCGTGTGAGGGCTCAGTGGGCCGTCCCCGCTGCGGGCGGAGGGCTTTGTCTCTCGGGAGGGAGCCCGTCTCCCTGGTCGCCTGGAAGGAAAGATGCTGAGAGCAGAGCGGCCTCCAAAGCAGCTTGCCAGCTCCGTCACTCCTGCCTCTGAACTTCCTGCCACTCCAGCTTTTCCCTCCTTGTGATCCGTGGCTGGCCTTCTGGCTGCGTTTCTTTCTGTTTCATGCCATCCCTCAGCCTTCCCTGGTGCTGTCTGCAAGAACAGCAGTGAGAGCATCCTGCTAGCGAGGCGTCAAAGCGTGCTGAGGGCATGCCTTCGCTGCTCTCCGCCCGCCCGCCCGCCCGCCCGCCCCGCCTCCGCAGCAAGGGTCTGAGAGCACAGTGGGACCTCGGTTCTAACTTAACTTGTTCCAGAAGGCTGTTCGAGAAGCAATTTGTTTGAAAACGGAATCATTTTTGCCGTTAGAAATAATGTAAACTGAATAGTCCAGCCCAGTCCACCATATGATTCCCTGTTTTAACCTTTCTTATATACAGTTTAACCTTTCTTGTGTACAGTACTATTTAATCTATAAATAAATATAAACAAAAAGGAAAGGAAATTTACAGTAAAAAAGTGAAACTTTACATACACACTAGAACTGCCTTTAATGTTGCCAGCTACTGATGACTGAATATGGAGGAGGGGGGCGGCATGGGGCGGAGGGGGGGAGGAGGAGGGGTCATTGTTTGGAAGAGGAGGTGGCTTTGCTTCTGGGGTTCTTTCTCTTCCCCTCTTTGCTCCACTGGGACTTGCTTCAGGCTCGCTGGGCCTCTGTCCCAGTAAAAACCATCCAATGATTGTGCCGCTGTTTTCACACTTTCCTGAAGGGAAACACTGCTCTGTCTCTGAACAAGTTCATGCACAGTTTGCTACTTCTTTGTCAGACTGTGCATTCCCCAGCATTCCCTTGGTGCGTGCGGTAGGAATAGCCTCCCTTCCCCACCCCTCCTCTGAAGGGGCTCCTCAGCTGCCGCGGCTGCTCCTCTGTGTCCTCCCCATCACCGTCCACTCCAAGCCACGGACCCGCCCAGAGACACAGTGTCCCCAGCGGACAGGCTCCCCTCACAGCCTCGCAGGCTTTGGCACAGCTTCTCCCTGGCGATTGTGTGGTTCTGGAACTCTCCCCATGCTCTGTCTATGATCCTCAGTGAGTGAGGACATTCAGGTGTTCCTTTCAGCACCTCCTCAGGGGTCAGTCCGTGTCAGAGGTCACCTCAGAACACCCCTGGAACAGGGCCTTTGAGCAGAGCTCCTTAAGTTAGAAATGACCTGCTGTTCTGTGGGCTGGATTGGAAGAGTTGTTAGGTGGCGAGGACCCAGCAGGGGGGAGGCTGTGGCTGGTGAGGACCCAGCAGGGGTGAGACTGTGGGTGGTGAGGACCCAGCAGGGGCGAGGCTGTGGACGGTGAGGACCCAGGAGTAACGTTGGCGGTGCTCCTGGCCGTGTCCCGCGATGACTTCTGCGCGGTGGTCCTCCAGCATGTCCTCCCAGCGAGCCTGTCTTTTCACAGTGGAACACTTGTTGGAACATACCCCTGGGCCTCCACGTATTCTAGAAGTTCTGTCAGGAAATCCTGAGCAGCTGCTTTGTTAGAGTGGCCGCCTCCCCATGTCCCTCCCCGCGAGTGCCACCCCCCCCTTTCCCACCGCTGGGCCCGGCGCCCTCCGCAGCCTCCGTCTGGTCCCGGGGCTTCGGAGGTCAGAGTGCAGGTCTGCGCTCTGTCACAGATCTTGCCTTTGAAATTTTATCACTGGCTAAGTGCTTTTTGTTTATCCAAATCAACAACAATTTCTCTAACTCTTCAGTGGCTACAGTTGTTTCCTGAGCACTTCCACACCCGCAGCAACGTCAGCCTCTTCATGTTTTAAAGTTGTGCTGTTGGCCTGCCATATCGGTAACCAGTCAGACACATGGACATCTCTATCACACTTCACAATTATTTCTTTTTTAAGCTCTATTGTTGTTCTCACAACTTTTAAGAACATATTTTTAAATTATTTTTAGAGAGAGGAAAGGAGAGGGATAGAGAGATAGAAACATCGATGAGAGAGACACGTCGATCGGCTGCCTCCTGCATGTGGGGGATCGAGCCCATACCCATGTGCCCTGACTCAGAAGCAAACTAATGACCTTTTGGCTCCTGGGTTGATGCCAGCCGGGCCTCACAACTTTCCGTTTTACTTTGCTGCTATCACTCACTCTTAGCGCCCAGGATAATTTACTGTAGGTGTTTAATAATAAGCAGCCACAAAACAAAAAACATAAGATATCCACAGCACAGTTTCCTGAGATGTTAACAACACAAGATTCAGCCGTCAGCTGACTCATACTCATGCATTCTCTCCTTTGTTTGTTGCCTGGGAAACATGTGACTGACCATACAGGTAACTGGGTCAAAAATCGAAGTTTTGTTCAACAACCAAGATAATATTTCTGTGACCAACTTGATTCAGAACCAAGGTCTGACTGACAAAAGGGGCTGGGCTGGGCTGGGAAGCTGTTGTGTTCTTAGAAGGTGTCAGAGAACTGATGGCTGAATCTGTGTGGACGGCAGCTCTCCAGACCCTGCCACTGGGAACAGGAAGTTTGGTTCAGGGGAAGAAGCAAAAGATGACAGAAGCTTTATTTTGTCCAAAGAATAGAACCCATAGTTTAAATCAGTAATCATTTATCTGAAATTTGATGATTTTAAATTGTCAAAACTTGAGGGATACAAAAATGAATAGGATATGGTTCATGTTTTATAAGGTTTTAGTCTGGACTTTGGCATACAATCCAAAGGAACAAAGGAAATCCTAGCTAATAAAAGAGTAATATGCAGATTGACCATCACACCAACACACAAGATGGCTGCCCCCATGTGATCAAAGATCCTGCCCCCAGGTGGACAACAAGATGGCCACCACAAGATGGCTAGCAGGGGAGGGCAGTTGGGAGGGACCAGGCCTGCAAGGGAGGGCAGTTGTGGGTGATCAGGCCAGCAGGAGAGGAAAGTTGGGAGGGAGTCCTACAAGGGAGGGCAGTTGGAGGCGATCAAGCCTGCAGGGGAGGGCAGTTAGAAGTGGCCAGGCCGCCAGAGGAAGGAAGTTGGAGGTATACAGGCTTGCAGGGGAGCAGTTAGACATCAATCAGGCTGGCAGGGGAGTGGTTAGGGGGTGAACAGGCTGGCAGGCAGAAGCAGTTAGGGGCAATCAGGAAGGCAGGCAGGTGAGCAGTTGGGAGCCAGCAGTCCTGGATTGTGAGAGGGATGTTCTACTGCCAGGTTTAGTCCTGATCCCAGTGGACATCCCTTGAGGGGTCCCAGATTGGAGAGGGTGCCGGCTGGGCTGAGAGACACTCCCTCCTGCTGTGCACACATTTCGTGCACGGGGCCTCTAGTAAAGGCATAACTTTCTTTTTCCCCCCTCTTTTTTCTCTGGGTCTTTCAACTTCCGACACTGTAGGCGCAGAGGCAGGAAAAGGAAGAACTACGTGAAGAGCAGAGAGGCACCCACTGAGTCACTAACCAGCCAGGGCTGTCAGGGGGCCAGCACTGCTGGTCACTGCTCCCCAGTGGCTTTTCACTGCCTCTGTCCCTGGCGGTTTGCGCCTCCCGGGGAACAGGTTCTCCGAGCCCTGGGCCACATCCCTGCTTTATCGCGTCACCACAGTCTGTTGCCATCCAAAGTGGCCACCTTCCTCTGTTCTCTGAAGTAGGACAATAGGTGCTTAGTAACCAGAGCACAGGAGTCAGTGCCGGCTGCTCTCCCTGAGCGGGGAGGGATTCAGCGTGTGCCTTCAGAGGTGTGACCTAGTGGGAAGAAGACAGGAGCCCAGCAAGATACTAGAGCACAGAGCATCGCTGGATGTCCCCCTCTCCGTTTCCCCTAGGGCTGTTCCTTTACAGGTGCCCCGCCCCTGCCCGTCCCCTTTGGCACCACAGTCGTGCTCAGTAGAGAATGCACCGAACCTGCTCAGGGGCCCCACAGGGTGAAAGAGCAGCAGGTGGGATGAGGCTGAGGCAGAGGCCGGAAGGGTGATTGGTTGCAAATAACAAATGCGAACTCCAGCTTGCCTAGGCAAAGAGGGAAGTTTGTCATGAAGAGGCAGGGCTACCTACAACCCTGGGGTGTGCGGAGCCGGGGGAATGGACAGAGGGATCAGAAAACCCTCCAGATCTCCTGCCTGTCTCACCTCTAGGCACACCTGCTGCGGCTTCTCTGTACACAGGTTGGGGCTGGCACAGGACTGACTCCCAGGGCCACATCCACGGACCGTCTCACCCGCAGGCCCCAGGCCCAGGCCAGACTCCTGGGAGGGGAGAAGCTGATGGGCCAGCGTGGGGTGTGTCTTTCCTCTCCCTGCCTGGAGCCGGGGCCAGGGGTCTGTTGACATGCTGTTTGGGCAGATGCCCTAAGAGTTATCAGCTGACTGGAGAGAAGAGTGATGGTTTTTTAATCTTCAGTCTTCTCCTCTTGTAGCTGGATGGAAAGCGACATGAATGACGGGCTCCCTGAGCTGTTTGCCCTTCCATAGAAACGCCTAGCGCAGCCCCAGGGGGAGCTACCATGCTGCTTCTCCCTCCCTCAGCAGCTGGGAAGCAAGGCGTGGGCGCTGGTGGTGAGGCCCAAACTCAAGTGAATTAGGTAGCTGAGGCCAAAGCAGCTGGTGGAAGATGGGGCTCAGGGGCACTTCCCAGGGGCAGGCCTCTTGTGACTGCTCCCCAGCTGGGATGCCAGGCAGGCCTCAGCAGGCACCTCTGCCCAACTCAGAATCCTGAGGGAAATGTCAGCCAACCCAACAGGGGCTGTCCTGATGCAGGGTTAAACCCCTGAGTGCAAATTAAATGAGCGGATCAAGGAAGCCAGACTGACTGTATGTTTCTATTAGGTGCGATGTGTCACTTGTAATTAACGAGGCATTTTGGGAGCTGACCTTTTCACTTCAAGTGGGTCTGCTGGTGAGATAGCGCTGCCCTAGCTGCCTCAGGATTGGCTGGAACGTCGCTGGAACCGGAAGGCAGTTGAATGCTGGAAGGCAGTTGAATGCTGGAGACAGCACAGAATTAGCACAGGTCCCTGGCCCCCGGGGCTCCGCCTTCCCTGGGAGTTTGTAAGGTGACGGGTGACTCTGAAGAGCCAGGTCCCATTTTGGGGGAGCTGTTTGGCTATACTTTTAAAAAATGTATTCTGGCCCTAGCTGGTTTGGCTCAGTGGATAGAGCGTCAGCCTGCAGACTGAAGGGTCCCATGTTCGATTCCAGTCAAGGGCCCATCCTTGGGTTGCAGGTTCCATCCCCAATAGAAGGCATACAGGAGGCAACTGATCAATGATTCTCTCTCGTCATTGATGTTTCTATCTCTCTCTCCCTCTCCCTTCCGCTCTGAGATCAATAAAAATATACTTTAAAAAAATAAAATGTATTCTGTAACTTCCAAAGAACAGATTTTTCTTAATTTTTAAAGTGTTTCATGAATCAGTGGTAAGAGGCAATCCATTTAAATCTGTATGCTTTCCTCTCTGTGCTGTTTTCATATAAAGGAGACTAGTGCTCATGCTTTCCTGTGTGTTTCTGTGGGCACGTGTGTGTGGGGGGGGGGGGGGGGGGGTAGCACAGGCTTTCCTCCCTCCTGAGCCCCAGACACCTCTCCTGGGCGAGGCCGGCTCAGCTATAGGGCCTCGCACCTGCTGAGGAGACCTAGAGGGGCCTTTCCCAGCTACACGCCACTGTCGATTTGCCTGTGGTTCCTGCCTCCACCGATGAGAGCCCTGCACAGCAGTGTGGGAAACGGCGAGTGAGCTTGTGGCATGGTGGCGGCCTCTGCTCACCCTTCAACTAAAATCACCAAGAATTGATTTCCTTGCAGTTAGGAAAATGCCTGCATGTTAGGATGCATTGCAAAGCTTGTGTGCTATTTCTCTGTCTTCGCCAAGAAATACAGATGCTGAATTAAGTTTTATATTTTTGTTCATGCTCAACGCACTATTGAAAAACCAAGGTTTTGCCACCCACCTCATGGCAGCACTGGTAGGGGGAGAGGGACAGGGTAGTTAGCCTTTGGGGTCCAGGGAGCACTGGCCGCTGAGAGAGCAGCTGGGCTGCGGTGGGTGTTCGGACACCGTGACAGCCCTCAGGAGACACGCTTCCTAACAGGCCTCCTTTATCCTTCCAGGCGTGGGCCGATGCCTTTCGAAGCAGTCCTGACCTCACGGGTGTTGTGCATATATATGAGGAGCTGAAGAGGAAAGGGGTTGAGTTTCCTAATGCAGATTTGGACGCTCTGTCTCCCATACACACACCGCAACGGGTAAGCTCCCAGCTGGCATTTTCTAGAAAGGCCTATTGCAGAACAGGCAACCATGGCCACCGCCCCTCTGCTGCTCCATTTGAATTATTCAGCTTGTCATCACGCTGTCTTGAAGCTCGAGGGCATTTCTCTTTAATAACAAGGGGAGTGCAGGAGTGAGACAGCTGGCTAATAGTGATTAAGTGGCTGCAGTGTCTCCCCCAGTTTTCATCCTGCCTGTGGAAGAGCATAATAGAGGGATCATTTCAGACATTCTCATGGAAATGGCTGCTGGGGAAGTCATTCTCTGAGGGTCATTAGCACCTGCTCTTCAGAGACCCCAGGAATGGGTGGGGCCAGCATCTCCTGGAGAACAGGAGCACCTCAGTGTTGGCAGTGCAGAGATGAGTGTGCTACTGGGCTGGGCAGAGAGCAGCTTGGGGTTTTCCAGCTGTACAAGCTAGCAGATGCTCTAAATGGATCCATTATCTGAGAGCTGGAGCGTTCAGCATCAGCCCAGACACCTTGGGATTCAAAGCCCATGGAAGGCCATGTAGAGGCCTGTCACGGATGCCCTCAGTGCATAAAAGCCTGCAGGAGAGGCTGGCCACCCTTCCCGGGAGCTAGTGTGCACCCTGAGGGCTGGCATCCGTCCTGCCTTGGGGAGCCAGGGCTCAGGACACTGCCTTGCTGGCCCGTCTCACCCGTCTCTGAAATGGGGAGAGGAGGGCATCAGCCGGTGCAGATCTTGTCGTATGAACACCACTCACGCACAGGAGGTTATCGGGGATGCCCAAAGGGAAGCATGAGGAATTTTATTTTCCAGAGCAGTGTTTTCAGTGTGACCTTCCAAACACTGTGCCTTGTGGAATAAACATAACCTGTTTTATTCTTCTAATAACTAGTGGCCTGGTGCACGAATTCGTGCACATTGAAAGGAAATAAATTAGAAGAAATATTTTAATGTTGCTATTCACCCTTTCTCTATAATAGAAGTGTTAATTAACTTCACAATCGACAATGATAGATTGAAACACATGCATGCAATTGGCGCCAGAGAGAGCTTTATATATACAATATTACGCATGCACAAGTCAACTTAGCCTATAGATATAGAATAAGCTTGCTTAATTAGACCTGCTTTCTGATGCAGCTAAACTTTTTTCAGCCCAGTGAAGCACCCCAACTTCTCTTTCAGGTAATTGTTAGCAACAAACAATAAATATCAACATGAAGCAGATTATTATTGTAGGTCACGCAGGGAGAACAAAGGGTAAAATATGTAACTGCAGCAGTGTTTGACCATATTCTGTGCAGTGAGAAAACCTGAAGTCATTTTCAAGGTCCACCATTTCTTCTTTTCAGTAGGGTCAAGTTTCTAAGCTTTCTAAATCTCCGTTTTCCAGCTAATGAAAAGAAAATAGGATTCCCCTGAGTCTCCTTTCTCAAAGAAGACCCTCCAGGACTTCTGTGAGGATCACAGGAGATGAGGCACGAGAAAACGCTTCACAGACATTTGGTTAAACTGTGAAATGTTTGCACTTGGCTATAAAAGCAAGTTGTGTTCCTTGGCTGAAGAAACTGCAAGGAGGCTAGTTGCTAGGGAAAGGAAGCCAGGCATTGCTACATGATGTCATAACCCAGATGGAGGGAAGGGCACTTAGCATATTAGCCTTTTATATAGATAGGTGATACAGAACTATGTTGTTATTTCTGTAATTACAAAGAACGTTCAGTAAATTGCATAATTAACTATTTATATTAGTCTACTTGTAAAAGCCAAAACATAATCTTCTGGTACCAACTAAGGATCCCTAGATGGCCCTAGTAATGGGGTACAGAGCATTAGGGCTCTCCCTGCCACCTTCTGAGGGATCTGGGCTTGGCTGTGGGGGGAGCAGAGGGAGGGGCTGTTGGGAGGACTCAGAGGGAAAGACCAGGAGCAGAGGGCCCCCTCCTCACAGGTGCTGCAGCTAGTACTGCCCTTGGGGGGCAGGCGCCAGGTCCTACTGCGCAGGCAGCCCGAGTGAACAGAGGACTCTGTCATTGCCATGCCAGAGTGTCCCTGAAGTGGATCCAGCCGCCACCGTGCCCAGGTCCCAGGCGCAGCAGAGGACAAGTGCCAGCTCCTTTTCCTCGTCTGCTCCTCCTCCCTTCTCCGCACAACAGGCCCCGGCTCTGAGTGTGACCGGCCCCATCACAGCCAATGCAGAACAGGTACTTGCATACCCTGGGCACAGGCACTTTGCCCTCATTCATCCTCCCAGACACGGGCAGGTGTCAGTAACGCACAGAGGAAAAGACCCATCTCTCTCTGAGGACTCGCAGTCGGGGAGGGGTGCGGGGGGGTCAGGTGCAAAGACAGTCAGGGCTGTGGTCACACTGAGGTGGGAGCAGTGAGATGCTGAGCCCAGAGTTGAGCAGTGCCTGGAAGGCAGCCTGGGGGTTGGGGGCTGCTGCTGCTGAAGGTTTTGAAGCTGGAGAAGGGCCCTGCCAGGCACCAGGTGGGGCAGGGCTGGTGTGGGGCGGGGGGGCGGGGGCAGAGGGGGTGAAGGATGGGGGCTCGGTGGGGGCCAGGGGCACTGTGTGAAGTGGGCGGGTGGGGGTGGTGCGGGCCAGAGGAAAGAGTGCACAGCAGGTGGTGGCTGGAGGGTGAGCTAGTGCAGGGAAGGAGTGGGGAAGAAGCTGCAGGGGTGAGGCAGAGCACAGGAATGGGCGGAGCTGTGAACAGCCTATGTGTGTGCAGAGAGGGTGGACTTCTCCCGTGAGGCAGAGGCCGGGCAGGGAGCCTTTAGGAAGCCTCTTCCTGCTTCACCCCAACACTCCTGCCTCCCTGAGGGACCTCCCAGGGAGCAAAGCCCTTAACGCCCCCTGAGTTTCTCGGTGAAACATGGAGACTGATCTTTGGGCGAATCTCTAGTATTTCCATTAGTTACAAGTTCGAGAATTGGTCAGACTTGAAAAAAATCCATCCCATGTTTATATTTTTAAACTCCTCACATAGTCTCCGTGACAATGTCTTCATTCTGGGGCCTCGTTCAGTCAGAGGGCAGTGATTCTGCCTGGTTGGTGGGCATGCTGTGCCAGGGCCCAGGAGGGAGCAGGCAGGAGGAGGAGAGGCCAGCTAGCAGGCACCGGGCCCAGGGAGCCCTCAGTGAGCCTCCCGCTATAGAATGGGCATGGGCCTGAGGGCAGCTGGAGGATTCGCACCCAGCTTCTGTGTGCTCTGCTGAGGAGACACTGCGGAAGCCCGCAGCTGAAAGGCGTTTACCTGAACTGTGGGCCTCACTTCCCTGAATGTGCCCTTTTCATCGCCCACCGTGACCAGGACCTACCCTGTGGCAGAGCTGTGCCCCTTCTGCTCAGAGGGAAGGCCACCATGTTTGAAGCTGTCTGTGCCTGGGAGCGCGGGGTGAGGGGAGCCCGCAGCAGCCAGAACAGTGGAGAGAGGGATTGGAACGCCTGACGGGCATGAGTGTTGCCCCCGGGGAACGAAAGCAGAGGCAGCAGACCAGCCGGGCCTGGAGGACCGGGGCTTCAGAGCCCACATGGCTTCTAACCGCGCAGTCCTGGCCTCCTGGTCAGAAGCCTCCTCAGCCAAGATCTGTGCCGTCCACCCATCAGGCAGAGCCCGAAGCAGAAAGAAGCTGCCAGGACCTGGCCTGCCCCCTTCCCCCTCTTCCCCCCGTGGGCTGTCCCTCCCATTTGTCCAGCCAGTAAACATGCATTGTGCTTTCTGTCCCTGTCCCTGTGCAAGGGCACAGGCCTCAGTGAAGCAGAGGCCCTGTCCCAGGCGCTGGACACAGGCGGGGGGCGGGGGTGGGGGCGGGGCGCGCCTCAGGAGAGACCTCTGAGCACAATGTCAAGGGCAGGTCAGAGCACCCTGGTCCAGCTCTGCACATCCCAGCAGTGTTGGGTATATGTGTGCCAACACGGGTGAGGGGGCATTTGCACATCAGCTACCCGCAGCCACTCTGCACACCTTGGGATTCCTAGTTCCCTCTCACAGGTGGGAAATGAGGCGCGGAGATTAAGTCCATCCTTTGGTGCTTCTGCTGCAGGAGAGGCGGCCCAGGCTTTGGGACCCTGTTGGATGGGCGGGTTGGGTAGCTTTCAAGGGGTCATTACCCTCGGCAGGGAGCGGCCTTCCTGTGGTTTTCTCCCCATGCCTCTCCCTCCCTCTCGCCATACCAGGCCAGTGAGTAACACTGCCAGCCTCTCAGAAGAACATAGTATTTGGAGGATAAGCTGCTGGGAGCCAGAGTCTATAGCTATGGGGTTCCTCTCCCAGTGCTGAGGGACTGGGGACCACACCCCCCACTTTCCCTTGAAAGAGCAGAGGCAGAGCCTGAGGGTGAGTCCCTGCCCCAGGGCGGGAAGCGGGGCTGCAGACCAGCTGGGTCCTCTGGGCACAGAGCACTCTCCTTGCCCAGTGCTGCCTCCCAGTCCTGGGCAGAGCCAGGGCCCCGGGTGACCGGCTCTCTGGGTGGCCTCCCTCCCCGTCAGCGCTCTCTAGCCCAGAGCTGCTGCTGCTGCTGCTGCTGCTGCTCTCCCAGGGGGGTGACGGCCCGCCAGGCGCAGTGACTGACCTCTCCCTCCTGCTTCCTCCTGGGCCAGCAGATCGCCAGGCTGCGGAGCGAACTGGACATTGTTCGAGGCAACACCAAAGTCATGTCCGAGATGTTAACGGAAATGGTCCCTGGACAGGAAGACTCATCTGACCTGGAGTTGCTGCAGGTGAGGGGCCTCGTCTCGGGGCTCAGGGCTCGGGGCACGGCAGTGAGAGAGCGGCCGAGTCTGTGTAGGCCCAGACCCAGCCTCACACTTCCTAGAAATGACAGAGGCCAGTACCAGGTGCTCTCCTTTTTACTTTCCTTAGTAGCATTTTTCCTGATTATAAAATGCCAATTGCAGAAGCCATGCTCATCTAAAGAAAAAGGCAGTTCAAAGAAGAGCGTTTTCTCTGCTGCCGTGTTCACAAATAGCCATCGTCAGCGCTTCGATGTTTATTTCAAATGTGGTTGAGATGTTACTATGTGTACGATCTGTCTGTGTTGCTTTGCACTCCTGACATCATCAGCCTCCCCTCCTCGTCACACCTTCCCAGACCGCCAGGCCATGGGCAGCTGAAGCCCCTTTTTTCCTGGACGCTGAGCACCCATCCCCAGGCGGAGGTTGTTCACACCGCGGTCCCGAGGCTCTGTCCCTACCTGGCCTCTCCTCCTCTGGCCGCTCGGGGGCCTGACAGTGCTGGAAAGGGGTCGGGTGCAGGGCTGCCTGCGGGGGTCCCTGGTGTGAGAGCCAGAGACCCTCCTCGGGCCTGTTTCCCAGGCCCGCCACTCCCGTCTCAGGCTCTGGCACCGCCTTAGAAGCAGTGCCCTCGGAAGGGTGGGAAGAGGGTGCTGTAGACTCCCGATGCCAGATCGTCTCTGTGGGAGGCAAGATGCTCGAGTCAACAAATCAGGAGCCAGACTGGCCGGGCGAACTGGCGTGAGTGCACAGGCTACTCCCGTCTGCCCTCGAGCCGTCGGTCTTGACCCCCCGAGTGGCGCACACCCACCTGCTGTTGGCACACGGTCCTCAGGAGCGCACACAGCCATCTCTTGCCGTGCCCCCTTCACCCTTCGAAGCCATTAGCTCCTGGGGGGTGAGCAGGGGTGGGAGCCTGTCCAGGGCCTAACAGAGCAAAGCCCAAGAGGCACCGATGCTGTGCGAGACCTGCTCTGGGGAGCTGGCCGCTGAGCGTGGGAGACACGCTCATCTCCGAGGAACTAGCGTCAGGCTGCTCTTGAAGGCATGACACCCTCTGCCAGCGGAGCAAGGCGACCTCAGAGCCTGCGGCAGGCCGGGCTCGCCTGGCTGAGCAGGTCCAGCTGGCCACATGCCACACTCCCGGGACCCAGCACCCGTTCCTGCGAATTGGCCTCCATCCTGCCCGGTGGTGCTTCTTCCAGGCATTCCCGGAGGCCCGGGGACCTGCGATTAGTCCAGAAGCTGAGGGGCTGCTTGAGGGAGCGCTGCGCTGTGTCAGCATCAGAATTCCTGCTGACAAGGGGTTTGCAGTGGACAGAGCTGAGCTCCTGGCCGCGGGGTGGGGGCTGAACAAAGCCAGCTGCTTCCAGACAGCCAGCAGCCCAGACAGCAGGGACGGTCTGGGTGCCAGTGCGTGTGGTGTGTTCTAAACAAGCCGTGAGCCAAGACAAACATAACCTAATCTCCTGTGGCAGCTCACAGTCTTCAAAAATAGGCTGCTTCCTGTGACGTTTTCCTTCCCTCTGTTTGTTCCAACTCTGAGCCTCCAGTCTCGCTGCTGTCTTTAAATCAAACGGGAAGAGCGGCTCTGGCACAGCGGGAGGCTTCGGGAGGCTCTGTGCACAGGCCTGGCCCCGGCTGCCGGCCAGCTCTGCAGTCATCCCTGACCTCTCTCCTCCTCTTCCTCCCCGTCTATCAGAAGCCAGCCAGGCAGGGTCCCCCAAGGGCCAGGTCAGACCAAACGGTGAGCACACCGTGTTGGAAAACGGCACAGGCTGCTTGGAAAGTGACAGGATCAGGCCGTGCCCAGGACTCCTTAGTGGCAGTGGAGGGCAGCCAGATGGTGAGGAGAAGCTGTCAGCTCGCAGTACTGGCCACGGCCATGAAGTAAACACTTTTGTCCCCAACCCAAATGTTCACGCCAGCAAAAGCCGCTCGATCTCGAGTGTAAGCTGCTGGGTAGGAGGCGGAGGAAATGGGAAGAGAGGAAATTGGAGGTGTCAGCCCTGGATGCACTGGGTGGCAGACCATGATGATGAATGGGTTCGTTTGATCGCTTCCTGGGAGTCAGAGCCGTTCTGGTGCAGCCTCGCTGCAGCCCTGCAGAGGGCGGAGCAGCCCCGGAGCGCTGGGCCTGAGGATTTGTCACTGTGGTTGAGGGAGGCTGAGGCCACTCCACTCGCCGCGCTGTCAGCCTCCTCTCGGGAGTTCCCAGAAAGTAAGCCGCAGAGGGACACAGCAGCTCCTCAGTGTGTGGGGCCCTCTGCTCTGGGCCGGGAGACCGCCAGGCAGCAGCCAGCTCCTCACCTCCGCTGAGTCCCTCCCGCCTCCGCCTCGTTGTTCTTATCAGCAGCAACTGTCAGTCAGCCCGTGGGGAGCAGCACAGCAGGGCAGGAGCGGGGGGCCGAGGCGCCACGATTCAGCCATGACTGAGGAGCTGGTGATGCTGGTGATCCCACAGAGTGTGGAGGGATCCTGCTGGCAGTGTGCCGGTGCCGGGCGCAGGCACGGCGGCCCCAGGCTGGAGCTTCTGTGGTTCTGTCAGCACATCGAGCTCCAGCCTGTCTCCCTGCACCTGCTGCCCTGTCGGTCCTGACACCAGCAGAAACACAGTCCACGTTCACACAGCAGGCCCCTAAATGCTGAGACTGCCGCGACCCAGTCTCGGGGTACAGGGGAGGCTGTGGCAGCCCACCTGGAGGACGGCCAGGCAGTTCTCAGCAGGGGACGGACGTCCCCTGAGAACCCTCATCTTTCTCCCGTGCTGTTGGCTGTCTGCCCACCGCCCCTCCCCACCACCACCACACATGGGCACTGCATGGGGCCTGGTGTGGGCTGTACCCACGCTGCTGAGGTCCGCCCTTCACCGCGGCCTGGAGTCCCCGCTCTGGACTCTAGTGAGCCTGGTACTATTCGGTGCCTTCTGTCTCTTTCAAATTAGCTTGCTGAACTTTGTCTCCAGTTAGTAACTCACATGGATTCAGTGATGCTAAAGGCATTCCTACCTTCCTGTGCGCTGTCAGTGAAGAGGAGGAGCAGGCATCGCCCTCTCGCTCCCCTCTTCCTATATCTCATTCCAACAAAAGACCCGGTGGCCAGGACCGTTTTCTCTGGAGAAGTCTGGTTTATTCTACACATTTAGCTTCATTATTCCCCTTTCTCTTCAAAGAACTTCTTTGCACACACATTCCCCGTCCCCCACACCCCCAGCCCGCAGCTCTAGGAGCAGGTTTCCGGGACCCTGTTCTGTGCTCCCCAGTCCGGGAGGAGGCTGGGGAGGACACGCAGAGCGAGGGCCTGAGAGTTGTTCTGTGAGGTGGGGACGTGCATGCCTCAAAGAAAGGATCACGTCGTTGGGAGCAATTAGGCAGAAAAGCGGGTGTTTTAATGAGATGCTCTGACAGGTGAGGGCTTCGCACAAAGAACAGTAACAGCTGTCCTCCCTCTGTTGAGAACCAGACCCAGAAGAGGCCAGAGCCCAGATTGTCCCCTTTAAGAACTTTGTTCCAGCTGTTGCGCAGCGGGAGGGCTGCCTGAGCGAGCGGGTGAGTGGGAGCCGCTCTGTCTGGAGGCCAGGGAGGCAGAGCAGGGTCTCCCAGGCACCTGCGCAGCCTGGCTGTGCGTGACCCGGTGGAGACCATGCAGAGCTAGCTGGTGCTGTGGTGGCAGGAATCTTAACATCTAGTCCTCCTCCCACCATCCAGCTCTTTGTTTAGTTCTGTTCTAAGACAGTAACTTACAAGGTGACAGCATGGACATGTAAAGCTTTCTCTCTGACTCAGACCCCGGGCCGGACTCCCTGGGTGCTCCTCTGAGGTCAGGGACGGGAGGCTCTCCTGGGGGGTCAGGGCTGCTTCCCCATCACCTCTGGGGAGGGGGGGGGGGGGAGCAAGGCAGCAAGTGCAAGGCCAAAGGGTTTCTGTTGCTTACAGCCATGGCATCCCTGCCTCTGTGTCCAGGGTGAGAGCTGCAGAGGCCTCTTCCCAAACATTTCTCTCAAGGATTGGAACTCCTCCACAAATAAGTCCTCCCGAGAACGGAGTGTTTAAAACAGATCAAAGCAGAGCTGCCCTGGCTGCCGGAGGGTGGGTTGCCCCAAACCCCTGCTGTGAGGCACTCAGAGGTGCACCATTTCTGCAGCCCCGTGTTTTCCCCAGGGACACAGAGACCAGAGAGTGCTGGGGGCCTGGGCGCTAATGCGGGTGCCTGTGAGGACAGTGACAGGAGCTGGTGGTCTGGGCAGAACTAGGCTTCAGAGCATTTTGTTTATTTATTTATTTTTACATATTTCTCCTAGAGGCCTCTTGCACAAATTCGTGCACAGGTGGGGTCCAGCCTGCCCACCCTGATGGGGGCTGATTGGGGCTGGGCCAGCAGGGGGGTGGGGATGTGGGAGGTTGGTGGGGGGAAGGAGGTGACTGGGACCTTCACTGGGCCTGTTGGCTGCCACAGTGTGTGTCATAGCGACTGGTTGTTTCACAGTTCAGGTCGCTTGGCTTTTATATATATAAATTGATTTCAGAAAGAAAGGAAGAGAGAGAGGTAGAAACATCAATGATGAGAGAGAATCATTGATCATCTGTCTCCTACAGGCCTGCTACTGGGGATGGAGCCTGAAACCTGGGCATGTGCCCTTAACTGGAATTGAATCGGGACCCTGCAGTGTGCAGGCCGACTCGGGTTCAGAGCATTTGAGATCAAGGTCCTCCTCCTGCCTCTAGCCCAGCCTGGTGCTGCTGATGGGATGGCACTACTTACCTGGGCTGGCTTGGCCCGGGTACAACTGGTACAGGTTGGGAGTAGGGAGAAAGGGATTATGAGAATCCAGTGATTTGCTTAAAGCCCTCTTTCCAGGAATGGTCCTGCCTTTTCCAAAATCTAGAATGGTAGTCCTAGGAGAACCAAGAATGAGAATAATGAGAATCTGTTCAGAGATAAACCCAGAACGTCCAGACATTGGACTTGCTTGTGTCCCTATTGACCAAGAAAGACTGACAGCAGCATCCTGGCTGTGCAGAGGGCCGAGACAGAGGCCATGTGTCCGTAGCCAGCTGGACAGGGCCCAGGACCCCACCAGTCAGAGCATCTCCAAGGAAGCTGCCTGTTATTCACAGCTGCCAATAGAGGTACTTCTGTCTTAAAAAATACAGCTGCGCTACGGTGCTTCTGGGCTGCCCCCCGGGGGCCATGCTTCTTTCCTCAGCTGCCTCTGCTCTGCTCTTAGGGAAGGCCCCAGGCTGAGCCGCCTGGGAGAGTGCCCGCATAGAATGGCCCGGATGTGCCAGCAGCCCTCCTCCTTCACCGCAGTCTGCTCGCTCTGTGGGGAGCTGGCCTGTCTCAGTCCTGCCCTTGCTCTTCGCTGCCTGGTCAGGCCTGGGCACTCATCTGCTTCCACACTGAATATCTAACGTGTCGTAAGACACATTCCTGCCACTGCTGCGAGTGCAAACACACAGATCTCCTCGGTTAGCAGCGTCTTTACTGTGACCAGCCAGCTTTCCACGTGGCCACCCCGTTCAGCCAGCAGCCACCTGTGGGGCGTGGTCCCGTGCAGGTGCATAGCAGGCGTGTGCAGTGTTCGCTGCTGTCCCCCACTGCGCGGGCCAAAGAAGGCCACACCTGAGTGTCCCAAATAGAATGGTGCATACGTTATAACATTATATAGATAGATAGATAGATATATAGATAGATAGATAGATAGATATAAAATGGTGCATACACACACGGGTGAGACTGAAATGGTGGGAAAGTTGTCTGGAACATTCTGTTGAAGAGAAAAAGCCAGCTTCAAAGAATCCTCTCTTCTAATTTAAAACGGGTTTATACAGCGTGTGGCTGTGTCCCCCCAGTCTGCAGGCCTGGACACTTGTCGGTCTGGGGAACAAGCGGGTTTCCTGGGGAGTAGGGGGCAAAAGGGAGGGCTTCCCCTTTGCTCAGACACACCCTGGCTTTGTGAGCAAGCCTGCACTGAGGGAGGAGCAGGACCCATTTCTCAGAGGACGTAGACGTGGCGAAGGCCCAGCAGGCTGGCGTGTGTGTCCCCAGGAGCTGAACAGGACATGCCGGGCCATGCAGCAGCGCGTGGTGGAGCTCATCTCGCACGTGAGCAATGAGGAGGTCACCGAGGAGCTGCTGCACGTCAACGACGACCTCAACAACGTCTTCCTCCGATACGAGAGGTGGGCGTGCCCTCCCCCGCCCCCAAAGCCGTGTGGGTTTCTTTCTCGAACAGAAGGGAGAGGGATTAGATTTGGAAACTACTCATCAGAGAGATGCTAATTTGCTCCAGACGACAGGGAAATGTCTCCTGTTCTCCTGGGAGCCCAGCAGCGGGAAGGCTGGCAGATGAGTCTCTGTCCTTTGCAAGCCTCCAGCTGCTCTGCCTCCCTCACCACCGGCCCCAGGAGGGAAGGACCCTCCGGCACCCGGGCTCTGGAGCTGCTGCACCTGCCTCTTTAAAGATCCTTTGAATTTAAAAAGGATTAAAAGGAAAAATATTCACCAAGGGAAAAGATTTTTCTCTTTTCCATCTTTAAAAAAGGAGATTTTTCCTTTGCTTTGCAAATGTCAGGGAGTCTGAGTGTCCAGCAGGGGCAGGAGTACCAGGGGCTGTGTAGGGAACACATGCTCCTCTCGGTTCTTCCTGCAGCCGGGTCGCCATCGGATTTGAGGTAACGACCTTGCAGGTTCTTCTCCCTTTCCAAAGCCTCTGGGAAGCGCAGCCTTTCCACAGTCAGGCCCACAGCTGCAGGAGAAGCGATGCAAGCAGCTCGGGCTCTCCTGGGCGCACCCGCCTGTAGGCCCCTCAATGAGGCCTGCCTTCTTCTAAGTTTAAGCCCCAACTCCCTGGAGACTCGGGTCCTGGCCTCTCACTGACTCGTGGCATGATGGTTTGGCACCCGTGAAGGGCAGTGTGGCAGATAATTGCATTTGGGATCTGAGGGGTGATTTTGCTGTAGTTGTCACAACCCTGGGCTTTGTCTTGGCTTCAGCTGAGGCATCAAGGAAGCTGGCCCTCCGCTCCGGGGTGGAGCAAGCGGCTGGCGGGGTCACTCCTGGCCCCGCCCATGGGGACACATGGGCGGCAGCGAAGCGGCAGGTGTGCCCGCAGCACATCCCTGCCTGGTCTGGGCAGTCCCGCCTCTCTCATTGCACTTTGTCTTTCCTCGTCCGCTGGGCCGCCAGCCCTCGCGGCCTGCGGACACGGCCCGGCCACGCGCTGGACACTGCTGACCTCTGACCTCGTCGCCTGGGCCCTCGCTTGACGCCGGCGTCCCCGCGGCCGCCGGGAGGGAGCGCCTGGCCAGGCCGCGCGCTGCGTCTGTCTGCCGGCGCCCGCAGCCTCAGCCGCGCCCGGACGGAGCACCGTAACACTTTGCTGCCTCACGTTTTTAAATAGAGGACTGTACACTGCATGGGAATCATGCTGCAATATGATCATTCTAGAGCAAATATATATTTCAAGGTGAAACGGAAAAAAAAAAGGAAGCTGGCCCTGTCGGCTGACAGCTGAGACGGTCTCCGCAGAGGGCATTGGGCCACAGGGGCGTGCCAGGTGGGGACAGGAGCCAACCTGAGTGCCTTGACCCTTGGTCTTGCCTTGTGGTCCCAGTTTTAAATGGGCCTGACTTTTAACCTGTCGGGTCCTTCCAGCCCCTTCTAGAACAGGTGGCAGGAGCTGTGTGGGCACTTCCACAGCCACAGACCTGGGCAGGTGGTGGCAGAGGCTCCGGGCTGGAGACTCCAGGGCCTCCCCTCCTCCTGAGAGACCAGGGCTTGGAAAACAGGTCTTTCCTACACCCAGTCAGCACCAGTCCTCACCAGTGCCCCTCGGGATCCCTGCTCACAGGCGCTGGCCCCAGCAGCCGGGACACAGTGAAGTCTGCTTCTCTGGGTCCAGCTCAAAAGAGTCTGAGCTACCCCCGCCCGTGGCATTCACGGCAGCCACACGCCCCTCACAATCTTCCCACCCGGTAAGAGAGGAGGCGTCTGTAGCTGCTCTGAGGCAAGTCCCACCCTGGGCCGGTCTGCAGTCAGCAGGCTGGGTGTGGCCTGGTCGCAGCCCCCAGGGACCCTCTCTGGCAGAGGCGTGCCCCTGTGACATAGGGCTTTAGTGCCCGCCCTCCAGTGACAGGAGGAGCACCTAGCCTAAGGTCTGAGGGGATGGCTGGGGTGCTTACAATGGTCGATGTACCAGCCACCACCCTGCTCCTCATCTCGGGGCCCATGGGTGAAGCCCACACAGGGGAAGGCGTGTGACGTGCATGTGTGGGCTGCTCTCCGGCCCTAACGTGGGCCTGGTTGGTCTCCTTTCCTGGAATCTCGGTCCCCAGAAGCTTTTACCAGGACTCGTGGGCATCGCAACGCCACACCCTCCCTCACTGGGCTCTCCTTCCTGATAGGTTCGAGCGATTCCGGTCTGGCCGCCTGGTCCAAAACACCAGTAACGGGGTAAGCATGCCCTCAGCATCCGAGTGGCTCTGAGCTGGAAGGGCCGCCTCGGGTGGTCTCACCTGTTCCTTGACCTGGGATGTAAATATCTGGTGATCTGAACAGCTCGCGCTGTTGACAAGCTGCTGAGGAAGAGCCAGCAGGCACATCCGCGAGTCAGTGGGCAGGGCTCCCCAGTTCCAGGGTCCGCAGTGGGCCTGGCTCCTGTGTTGGCAGGCGTGGAGAGCACACGGCCTGCAGGCCTGCCCTCAGCCAGGCCCCAGGGCTCATGTGCTCACGGCACCTCCTGCTCCACAGGTTCTCAGTGAAGTGACCGAGGACAACTTAATAGACCTGGGGCCGGGGTCTCCTGCCGTGATGAGCCCCATGGTGGGGAGCACGGCACCCCCACCTTCCCTCTCATCTCAGCTTGCTGGCCTGGGTGAGTATCTCATGGGCTGAAGGACCTCCTTGCAGGCCCCTTCCTGCCTGAGTCGGGGCAGAGGCCCTCTTTCTGTTGGAAGGCCAAGAGCCTTTTGGGGAGCCCATGGAGAAGTGTACTCCTGGCCCGACCAGCTGCACCACCTTCAGTGCATAACTTCTCTCCCTAACTTCAAGTTGTAACCTACATGGGAAAGCAGGGGCTGGGGTGTTCCAAGGAAAAGAAAGGTGGCTGCTGTGTGTTATCTGGAATATTCCTTATGGTCGAAGCGCTTTCCTTCTCAATACTGACTAGGTCAGCCGAGGATGGAAGACAGGTTTCTGCTCACGGGCAGCTCGGAGCACAGGTCTAAGTGGGGTGCTGTCGCCACTTCAGGGCTTGGAAGAGGAGTCTGGGGTTGATTGGTGATGTCTGCCACTGGCTTGGAAATAAGAAGGGACGGCACTAACATACTTGCTCTTGTCGAAGTAACGTCAGCTAAAGTGTTGTCTGAAATCTGAAACAAGAAGCACTGCTTTCTACAGTTCATTTGGTTTAAATATGACTATAGTGCTGCAAATACACAGTATGATGCCAATTTATTGTATTATAGTATTGAAATAATAAGCATGGCCCTCTCAAAGCTCTTTTATTATATTAAATTTGATTTTAGAGAGAGGGGGCGGGAGAGGGAAAGAGAGAGAAACATTGATGAGCTGCCTCCTGCACATCCCCCACTGGGGATCAAGCCTGCAACCTGGGCATGTGCCCTGACCAGGAATCGAACCTCTTGGTTCACTGGACGATGCCTACAAACTGAGTAACACTGGCCAGGCTCAAAATTCTTTCGCCCACCCTGCTGTTCTGTTTTCTTATCCTATATGATAAAAGCCTAATATGCAAATCGACCAAAAGGCAAATGACTGGTCACTATGACATGCATGGACCACCAGGGGGCAGACGTTCAATGCAGGAGCTTCCCCCTGGTGGTCAGTGTGCTCCCACAGGGGAGCACTGCTCAGCAAGAAGCTGGGCCCATCTCTGGCAAGCTCAGCGGTAATGACAGGAGCCTCTCCTACCTCTGCTGCAGGCAGGTGGTTAGGAGTGAGAGGTCCTGGACTGCAAAAGGGATGTCTGTCTGTCTGCCTGTCTGCCAGCTTAGGCCTGTCCCCAAGCCGGTAGACAGACATCCCCCAAGGGCTACTAGACTGCAGGAGAACAAAGGCGGACTGAGAGGCACCTCCCGTCCCCCCACAGTGCACAAATCTCGTACACTGGGCCTCTAGTTTCTTTTTCTTTTCTTTTTTTAAAAATATATTTTATTGATTTTTTACAGAGAGGAAGAGTGAGGGATAGAGTTAGAAACATCAATGAGAGAGAATCATCGATCAGCTGCCTCTTGCACACCCCCCACTGGGGACGTGCCCGCAACCAAGGTACATGCCCTTGACCAGAATCGAACCTGGGACCTTTCAGTCTGCAGGCTGACGCTCTGTCCACTGAGCCAAACCGGTTTCGGCGGGCCTCTAGTTTCTTAACATTTATCTTTATAACTTCATTTTATTTTAATTAAATCGAGCTTTTATTTTTGGCTTCTCAGTATCTCATATTTGTAGCCCCTGTTTCTCTTTCAGAACAGCTTTCTCTCCTTCAGTCCATCCAGCATATGGCCACTGGATTCTCCCAGAATTAAATTGAGTTATGCTGCCTCCCTTCCTTAAAGAGGTCTCACATTTTCACCCACTCCCTTCTTGGCATTTGAGGCTTTTCCCAACCGTCCCCACCTGCCTTGCCAGCCTGTCCTCCGTTAGCTCCCAGGGCATTGCTCATTGCACGCGCCCTGACTGCCCGCCTGCACCTGCCTGTGTCTCCCCTCCCCACACAGAGTCCACTGTCCCAAGTACTACTGCTGTCTGTCTGTCTGCCTCTCACCTGTTCTGTGACTCCTTGAGACCACGGTCCACATCAGATTCAGTTTGGTTCACTCATGACCTAGTTCTGAACATGGTGGGTATCTGCAAAATATTTGTCACAGAGATAGATACAGCTCCAGGCCCTTAGACGTGGTGACTGAGGTAACGAAGAGCCCCCGACACAGAGGCATCAGGGAACCTGTGAGGACCTGGCCCCGGGCGCCACCTTTCCACTGCTAGTGCTCCCCCTGCCATTCAGAAGGACTTCTCCACCTAGACCGACCGCACCCGTGGCCCCTCCTGCACAGGGTGACCTGGGTGTGCCCCTGCCCTCCCCCCAGAACTTTCACCTGCTCACCTGGCGTCTGAACATTGGGACCCCGTGAAGTCCCTGACCCCTTCGTCTCATCTCGCTTCTCCTGTTGCCGCAGACCTGGGGGCAGAGAGCGTCAGCGGCACCCTGAGTGCGCTCCAGCAGTGCGCCCCCCCGGACAGCGCTGGCACGCGCGCCCAGACCACGGGGAGCTCCGCAGCCGAGCAGCGCAAGGCGTACGTGGGGGTCATTCCAGTGGCTCCTGGAAGCTACGTGGGGAGATTGATCCAGGCCTGGTCACGGGCCAACACAAAGAGGCCTTCTATTTACCATCAGGACGGCCAGGAGCTTTGGAATATGCTGAGAGGACTTGGCAGTAGACAGATGTTGAATGAGGGAGCGCCAGCCCCGCTGGCCCGGGAGCCCTGCTGCTCTCTGCTTCCGGCGCGGCTGCTGCCTGGGCTGGAGGGGAGGCAGCCAGGAGGGCAGCGGCAGGACGCCGGCTGGCAGTGAGGCTTCCCGCCCGGGAGTGTGCATGGGGCTTCCCTGGTAGCTGCTCTGGCCAGGAGGAGCCAGAGGGAATTGGGGGAGTTTATTCCAAAATAGACAATCCCCGTGTCATAGGGAGGCCCAAGGACAGCCAGCCCAGGCCCCGCTCCTGGATGCACTGGCTGCTGCTGGGACCTCGCTCCACAGCCTCGGGTGCCCCCCACACCCTGTCCTCTCGCCTTAGAGGTGGAGAGGTGCCCATGCTGTTACTCGAGGGGGTGATGGAGCAGTGCCAAGCCCGGGGGAGGGCAACACCTCCCAGCCTCAGGCAGGCAGACCAACAGCTGAGCCCTGGCCTCTGCCCATGCCAAGGCCTCGGAACGTTCTAAGTGCCTGTGAGGAAGGTGCCATGGGTAGGCAGGGACCGCAGTCCACCCCCACCCCCTGGGGCGCTGACTCTGCTTGTGCTGCTTCGTCTCCAGGGTAACCTGTGAGGACCCCCAGGCTGCCGGAGGACTCACTTCTGCCCTAGACAGTCGGAAACAGCTCTCCGAAGTGGTAGGTCTAGCCCTGCTTTTCTGCCGGACAGTTTGGTAGAGCTGGCGAGGTGATGGAGCAGATGCTGGCTTGGTGGAGGGCGGGAAGGACCAGAGATAAGGCAGAAGTGGAGGATGGTGCTCGTCTGGCCCCAAGGCACCCCGGTTTCTGTAAGTCTCAGATCTTCGCGGGGGAAAGGAGTTGTGTCTTCATGTTTCTCCTGAGCTTGTTCCGTCTGCTAAGCGGTGTGGGTGAATGTTTGTTTGCAGGGGCAGGGAGGGGGCGGGCTGAGCTAGGAAAGGGCGTGCCCATGGCCCCTCTGACCCCGAATGGGAGTTGCTTCCCAAATGCCAGTGTTGGCCTCCTACACCTCACCTTGGGGAAGGACCACCTCCTTCCTCCTGGTTGGCCAACTGCGTCCCTCTGCCCTGGCCGCCAGGAGGCACAGAAGAGCCAGCCAGCTGCCTCCGCTCAGCCCCTGCCTTGCCACAGAAGGGTGGGCAGTGGTACCCACACCTGAGACTGAACTCCCAAAATGTGTGCAGCAGCCACGGCTCCGTTTAACCATTATTTATTATGGAATGTCCTCCCTCCTGGCTCCGGGAGGGTGTTTAGGAGCTGGGCTGAGGCCCTGCCACGTGAGGGTGCCCCTCCTCCCGGCCCTCCCTGGCCTGGCCTGCAGCCCGTCCCTCACTCAGGCTGTCCTGGTTTGCTTCCCACTCGGTCTCCAGGGCCTGCCCTGTCCATGCCAACCTGTACCCTACCTCACCTTCACCATTATCACTGCCTGTGCCTGGGCCAGAGCTTAGGACATGTGGCCAGCTTCCCACCCTTCACCTGTGGGTTGGCCAGCCTCCGCTTTCAAAGGCCTTGCTGAGTTCAGCATGTCTTCACGTGGTGGTGACAGGCTGCTCTCTCTTTATGCTGACTGCTTGGTGGGCAATGCGGGGAGCAGGATTCCTGTTAGCTCTGCGTGTGTGTGTGTCTATATGTGTGTATATATCTGTGTGTGTCTGTGTCTATCTGTGTGTGTGTGTGTGTGTGTGTGTGTGTGTCTAGATATCTTTGTGTGTGTCTGTTTATCTGTGTGTATCTGTATATCTGTCTCTGTGTGTCTGTGTGTTTTCATACCTGTGTGTGTGTCTTTGTATCTGTGTCCTCACACACTGGCTCGCATGCACCTGCAGGCCAGGGCTTCGGTCATGTCCATACACTGACCCGCACTGCCGGAAGGCGAACTGGTCAGGGAGGAAGACAGGAGGGAGGGGAGATGAATGGCCACGCCTCCACGGTGCAGTCAGTTCTTACTTTTATCACTTAAAAAGGGTAACATGCCAAACTTAGAGTTTAAACTAAGGCTTGGAAAATGAGCACACAGGTAACTGAGGAGGAAAAGGGAAGGAAAAGCAGAAGTAAGTTAGAAAAAAGGAGGGATGATTTGTAAAGGTGCTTCTCCGGTGAGCCGCCCCTGCTGCCTGGGAGCCTCCCTGGGAGCAGAAGCCCGGGCGTCTGTGGCTCGCGGCCTCCGGGGGCCGGGAAAGGCCGCGCCACGGGCGCTGTCCTGGGAGAGCCTGCAGACTAACCCCTCACAGGCAGGTGGGGCGTGGTGGGGAGCACCCGGGCCAGGGCTGACATGACACATGCTCACTCCGAGCGCCTCTGTCCCGGGGGATGTGCTGTTGCTTCTTGATAATGGGTCTCGCTGTGACTTTTCTTTCTGGGACTTTCCTGTCCTCCGTCCAGGAGAGAGTTAAAGGTGGGGACGCTGACCTGGAGCCAATAGACAGCTGGCTCATGACCCAAGGAATGGTGAGCGGCCACTAGCTGCGCAGAGCCGTGTCCCCAGCGCTTCCCCGTGTCCCCGCTGAGCCCCGTGAGTCAGACAGCACAGGCCTCTCCCCTCCGGCCGGGTGCCAAAGCGTCTCCTGTCTGCAGTCTCCTGAAGCCACAGACGCAGCCTCCTCTGGTTTCTGCTGAGGTCCAGGCCCTTTGGGGTCTGGAGCGTCTCTGGGAGGGGAGGGCCCTTCCCGCCTTGACTGTCTGTGGGGCGCTCAGCGGCATTCCCTCTCCAGGGGGAGCGGTCACTGTGGCTGTGCTCCTAAGAGAACGGACTCCCAGCCTCTGACAGCTGGGAAGGCCCAGCCTGTGCGGGCGGCACTGGGCGCTGGCTCCGCTGTGCTCCGAAGGGTCAGGGGTTGTACCCACTGAGCCCCAGAGGCTCTGCGGCCTCTGGCGGACGCACACACGGAGCAGACGAGCAGCAGAGCCGGCCGAGGTTAGCATCACACGTGCAGCTGGTTCTCAGGAAGCAGCCTTTCTGCAGGGGACCTGGGCGGGGCTCTCGTGCCTCACCTGGCCAGGGCGGTCTCTCTTCCCGCTCTTGACCGGGTGGCCCTGCCTGGTGCATGGAGAAGGTGACCTCGTCCGGCTGCTTGCCCTGCTGGGAGTGACCGTTCACCGCGGGACCCAAGGCCCTCAATAAGATCTGCACCTGCCCACTGAGCAGGGAGGGTGTGAAAGGGCAAGGCGAGGCAGGCAGGGATCCGGGGCCGCTCCCCGGAACTGGAGGGGTGGCACCGGGTGCACACAGGGGAGACTGACCTGGGGCCATGCCAGGCTGTGGCCAGGGAGGGTTTCTCAGGGCAGCATGCAAGGGTGTCTGTCTGCCACCCAGCTGGAGCAGGCGGCCCTGCACGCCTTGCTCAGGTGGGGCCCAGCCCTCCACCTGCCATGCAGCAGGCCCTCCTCGCTCTGTTCCTACAGACCTCACAGCCGACCTCAGAGAGGGGCTGCCCGGCCCCTCGTTTGCTTCTTCAGGGGCAGGCTGGGCTCTGGCCACAGGTGGTGGCTGTAGAGCAGGACCCTGCACACCGTGTCCACTCCATTGTCCAAATTGGAGGGATCCGAGCATGTGTCCTTATGCCTTTTAACCCTGCAAGGAAAAGGTCACTGCCCCCAAAAGTCACTCTGAGCATGGCCTTGGCAGCGGGGGCGGTCCTGCCTCTGCCACACGGCCGTCGCAGCTGCCCTGTCTCCTCCCGGAGCTCAGTCTCCGGCTCCCAGAAGCAAGCCCCGCTAACAGCTAACCCGACCTCCCCTGCCTGACGCAGTGTTTTCCCCTTTAAACGACGCACACGCACACTAACTGCTTCGCCTTATTTCCATCGTGTGGCGCCTGAGTCTGTCCACACCCCCGGGTACAGGTTCTTTACTTGGAAGCTTTTTGAACTGCTGAGTGCGACCGCAGGCTCATAGACCACCCCTCATGTGGGTGTGGGGGAGTCCGTCGGGAGGAGGTCCCGCTTCTCTGCAAATAGCACAGCGGGGCTACAGAACTGTGCCTTTTGCATGGGAAGTCAGACGGTTGCTCCCCTGTGGGCTGGGGCCGTGGGGGGCAGACCCTGGCTCCTGGGACTAAAGCACCAAAGTCAGCAACCCCAGGCTCATCAGCAGTTGAAGGAATCCCTGAGACAGTGCGCATGCTGTCCCCCGAGCCTGTGACCGGGAGGAGTCCCCGCACGCTGGGCAGCCAGCAGCTCTGGCTGTGAATGAGTCTGTCACAAGAACTGAAGGAGGCTAGTGGAAAGGTCTGCTGCTGCCAAAGCCTAGGTTTGGGGTGGGGTGGGGGCTCCCTACTCAGACCCGGAGGACCCCGGACCACCTCTGAACAGCAGGCCCGACGTCCCGAAGAGCACTGAGCCCAGGACGCCTCTTCCTGTGTGCAGGCACCCGCTGCTCCCTCAGCAAGGCTGCCTGCCTGCAGCCAGGGCAGGGCCCGCAGACAGCAGACCGCCCGCCGCCTCTGCGGCAGGACCTGCCACTGGCACCGCCTGCCGGTTCCTGTTGGATCCTGAGGACAGGCCACCTGTCCTCAGGGGGGTAGTTCTAGCCCTGGTCTTCATTAGATGGTGCTGCCCAAGCAGCTTCTTGTATCTTTCTCCCTCCCTCCTCCAACTCACTCTTCTCCCAACCCCTTGGGCCAGCCTTTGGCTGGATAATTCTCCAAGAAGATGCTAAGCCACAGCAGGACAGAGCCCCAGTCCCTGGAGAAGCTGGGCAGCCCGGCCTCCCGCCCTTCAGCGGCCTGGGCGGAGCTCTGGTCCTCCCTGAGCCCGGGGCCCTGGTGCGGAGCAGGCACAGGCTTTGCCGGAGGCAGCACCGCGGTGTTAGGAGGGAAGTCACTGTGTGGTACTCAAGGCACTGGTTTAAGGTGTTTCGGCCAACCAGAGCGAGCGAACCCCTGCTCTTAGGCGAAGGCTGCTGGCTCCACCCCAGCGCCACACTGAGTCGTGCCTGGAGGCCAAGTGCCTTCATGGTGAGGAGCCAGCGCCAGTTACTTCTGGTGTCCCTGGGTTTCTTCCTTCCTTTCACACGGATAGTTTATTGAGAAGGTCGAGTTATGCGTCTGTGGTGACTTCACCCCTGACTCCTGCTCAGCACAGGCAGGACAACCTGCTGTCTGGGAGGCCGTGCAAGTCGGTGAGCCGCCTGTGGGTCCTCGTGGGAGCCTCCGAGCACCTCCCCAGGGAGCTTTCCCCGCGGCGACCCCAGAGCCGCTGGGCGTCCGACTGGCCTTCACCTGGAGATCCTCTTCCTTGGCGCCCGGTCGGGCCAGCACTGCCTTCTCCGGACGATTGGAGCGGCGCTGAGGTGTCAGAGCTTCCGGGCGGGTGAGGCGGGGCTCTGCCCGTCCCGTACCTCCGAAGGCTGCAGCTGGCAGCTTCAGACGGGCTTTGGAGTTCAAAAACCAGCACACCAACCTGGAGGTTAAGGGCTTGGAATCGTGAGCTCAGCCTGTCTCACAGAGGAGGGCACGGAGGGCAGGATGGTCCAGGCCTCGGCCTCTCCATGCGAGCGCAGGCTCCTCAGGGAAGCGGAGGTCTGAGCAGTGAGCGGGGCCGCGGGGCCTGGCCCGGAGGCCGCCTCCATAGTGCAGGTGCAGGGGAGGGCCGGCGTGTTCCCAGGACCCAGCCTCGGGGGCTTTCAGGCGTGCGCGTCTCCTGTCCGTGGCGCAGGGTCTTTGTTCTTTTTAGTTGCGTTTTCATCACTGTGTAGATGTGGCGAGTGCTGAGACAGCCCTCTGACTGCTTGCTTTCACTCGATCTCAGCCTAGATTGTGGCTTTGGGCTGAAGCCGCTGTGGGCGCGGTGCTGCAGTTTTCCTAGAAGTAGTGGGCCCGAGAGGGCGCCGCTGGGGGTACAGTGCGGAAGGCGGGTCCTCGAACTATGAAGTCTAGGCTGGGCACCCGTGTTTCTTTACCTCAACGTCTAGAGGTCCCCCACCATCACCACCCCAGATCCCAGTGACCATCTCTGACGCGGGAGCGCGGCCAGCATGGGAAGCTCTGCCTTCAGGCCTACGTGCTCGCTGGACACGGGCTCACGCCCACAGGCCCTTTGGTGCTGAGCCTCTGCTCTTGTTCTGGTGGTGGTGAGAGGTGCCTGCCTCCTGCAGGCCGCCCGGCCCCGGCTCCCTCCCCCGGGATGTGCCACATCGTGGCAGAGAGCGGCCACGCCTGGGGCGGCTGCAGTGCTGCCTGGCCACGGGCCTCCTCTGGACAGACTGCCAGTTGGGCTCCCAGTGCATCGGCCCGTGGTGGCTCCTCAAGCAGACGGTGCCCCTCCAGTGTCATCGCCGATGAGTCCAAAGTCAGCCTGCAGGGCAGCGGCCTGAGACTAGCGGGTGCTTTGAGCCTGGGCCGAGAGGCCGTGACGTGAGGCGTGAGGCCTGGCACTACAGTCAAAGAGTTCTCCATGTCAAGGACACGTACTCCCCCCTCTCCCGCCCTCTGCTCTTAGACCTGCTCCTCACCGCTTCCCCACCTGCCATGCACGGCTGCCTCGCTGCCACGCCCGCTGCTCTGATGGGTTTTCTTTGCTGTTTGGTTTCATTTGGGGGTGTTGATGATTTATTTGGTTCTGTCTCCCCTCGCCTGGCTGTGCGGCTGCTGCCGCTGCTTGCCGCCTCCATAGATCCCCGTTGCGCAGCCCTCTGTCATGGACGACATTGAGGTGTGGCTCAGGACGGACCTGGTGAGACTCGACTTTTCTCTTTCAAGTGTGGGGTGTGGCAAGGACAGGCCCGGGACACCCTAGGGCTGCTCCCGGGGGCTGGGGAGGAGGCGGGAGGAGGGCGGGTGTGCCTCCTGCAGCCACCACATGCCACAGCTGGCGTGCCCGCTGCTCCTGTGGCCCTTAGCTGGCCCTCGCTGGCTCCCGAGCACCCTGCTGTCTCCCCGGATACTTCCATTCAGGCTTGTGTGCTTGACTTCTTTTGTTTTTTTTTCTGCTTGTTTTTTGTGGGGTTTTGTTTTTGAGGGTTTGTTTTTGGTTTTCATTTCTTTTCATTGTGACATGTACACACAGATGAACAGGGTATTGTTTTTTTGTTTGTTTTTTGTTGTCGTTTTTTAAACCTCACACGAGAATATTTATTCCATTGATTTTTACAGAGAGTGGGAGGGAGGAGAGAGAGAGAGAGAACATCAATTTGAGAGAGACACATTGATCAGTTGCCTCCCGCATGAGTCCTATCCTGGGCCAATCGATCCTGCAACGTAGGTACGTGCCCTTGACCAGGAATCAATCCACAGGGAAATGCTCTAACCACTGAGCACACAAGCCAGGGCTGTTTCCCTTTTAAGTCCACTGTCACCCTGGCCAGTGGGGCTCAGGTGGTTGGAGCATCCTCCCAGGCACCGAAGGGTTGCTGGTTCAGTTCCCAGTCAGAGCACATGCCTAGGTTGTGGGTTCAAACCCCAGAGGGGGTGCATATGAGAGACAACCAATCAATGTTACTCTCTCTCTCTCTCTCCCCCTCCCCCTCTTTCTAAAAATCAGTAGAACAGATCCTCAGGTGAGGATTTAAAAAAGGAAAACGCACTGCTGCCTCCCTTCTCTGGTATCTCCTGGCTTCTTGATCCAGGAGAACACCTGCTCCAGAGACCATTGTCTTTGTCCCGAGACAGGGCCGGGCATGAGGACTGGCGCCTGCCCCCAGCCGCCGCCCCCCTCACAGAGCCCTTTTCCTCCCCGCAGCTCCAGGAGGCGGGTGGAGGGTGGGGGCGGAAGGCTGATGCACAAAAGCCCTGTGGCAGGGGAGTGGCTGCCTACGGTCCTGAGCCGGCCGGCTGGGTCCTTTCCAGACCTGCAGACCCCTCAGCCCTGCTCCCAGCGACGCCTCGCCGGGGCCTTGGTCCTGGAGCGTGGGCGTTCTTTCGGCACAGGGCGCCGCTGGCCGTGGCCACTGGTGCGGTCCCTCCCAGGGGGGACGGAGACCCGAGACAGGGCCACCTCCCTGGAGGCCACGTGTCCACATTTCGGAGGAAGAAAATGCCTCATCGTGTCTACCACGGGGAACGCCCAGAAAAGAAATAGCTTCTCTCCCAGAAGCCCTCAGCTCCCACGGGGACCAGGGGCAGAGGGCGGCTCCAGCAGGACTGCAGGCGGAGCACCACGCCCGCTCTCCCCTCCTCTGCTGTCTGCGCAGTGAGGTCCGTGTGGCAGAACCACCCTCACCCCCTCTCCGGTGAGAGGTGACAGCGCCTCGGCTCCCTCGCCTGGCGTCGGCCCCGGCCCTGGCTTCCTGGCTCGCCACTTCCCGCCTCGTTTGGCCCCTCCGTGGGCACGGAGAGCAGCTTCCCTGCGGGAGAGCTGCTGAGGGACCGGCGCCTGGGGGCATCACGGCCCCAAGAGCCAGCTCGCACCTTTTCTGGATTTTTCCTTTGGCCCTCCTGGAGGGTCAAAACCTACTCAAGCGGTTCATGTTTTTGCTTTTTAAAAACAAAGTTTTTGTTTCTCCAAAAAGATGAGCAGTACTTTGCTGGCACAGAACCCGGGGACAGGAGTAGGAAGCGTGGCAGAGGCAGTGGGCACAGCGGAGGCAGTGGGATGGGGGCAGTGGGACGGGGGCTGGCACAGCAGGGGCAGTGGGATGGGGCGGGGGCAGTGGGACGGGGGCTGGCACAGCAGGGGCAGTGGGATGGGGGCAGTGGGACGGGGGCTGGCACAGCAGGGGCAATGGGATGGGGGCAGTGGGACGGGGGCTGGCACAGCGGGGGCAGTGGGACGGGGCTGGCACAGCGGGGGCAGTGGGACGGGGCTGGCACAGCGGGGGCAGTGGGATGGGGGCAGTGGGACGGGGGCAGTGGGACGGGGATGGCACAGCGGGGGCAGTGGGACGGGGCTGGCACAGCGAGGGCAGTGGGATGGAGCTGGCACAGCGGGGGCAGTGGGATGGAGCTGGCACAGCGGGGGCAATGGGATGGAGCTGGCACAGCGGGGACAGTGGGATGGAGCTGGCACAGCGGGGGCAGTGGGACGGGGGCAGTGGGACGGGGCTGGCACAGCGGGGGCAGTGGGATGGAGCTGGCACAGCGGGGGCAGTGGGACGGGGCTGGCACAGCGGGGGCAGTGGGACGGGGCTGGCACAGCGGGGGCAGTGGGATGGAGCTGGCACAGTGGGGGCAGTGGGACGGGGCTGGCACAGCGGGGGCAGTGGGACGGGGGCAGTGGGACGGGGCTGGCACAGCGGGGGCAGTGGGACGGGGGCAGTGGGACGGGGCTGGCACAGCGGGGCATGGAGCCTGCTGGGGTGACCTGTGCTCTGCTCCTCCCGCAGAAGGGCGACGACCTGGAGGAAGGCGTCACGAGCGAAGGTACGGCCTGGCCAGCCACTTGGCAGCTTACACCCCCCCCCCACCCAGGCCAGGGTGCACGGGGCCTGCGCCCCACCACCTGGAGCCTTCACTGGAGCACTTTCTGGCGTCTGGCCTATGCAGGGCCTCTGGGACCCGAGCTTCCTGCCTCTTCGTCCAGACCTCATGCTGATGGGGACGGTCACACAGCGTCCCAGCCAGCATGGTGCCCACCCCATGTGCTCCACCCGCAGAGGCAGCACAGGGCACGCGGGCCTGGTGCCCGAGGCCTCACTCCTGGGGGGAAGTTCCCAGTCTCCTCCCCTCTCTGTCCCCCTCCCCTTCCATCTTGCCTCCTGGACCTCCCCTTGGGCCCATCAGCCTTTCCCTGTGCTGCTCCCTCCCTCACAGACCCCTGCTCAGACCTCTGCAGGCTTAGACCCTGCTTCTGGGGGGGCGGGGGGTGCTTGCCACCCCAGCTCCCTGCCCTGCCTCCAGGGCTGGTCTGGAGAGTGGGAAAGCGGCAGCTGGGAGGGAATCTGAACTGTCACCGTCACCCCACCCCGCCCCTATAGGGGGATCCAGGCTGGGTTCCCAGGCAGCGCAGCCCCTGGCTCTGGCTGTGGGCCCGTCACGCCTGCTCCCTCCCTGGCAGTGACCCGGGGCACGAGGGAGTGGGCTCCGTGGTGCAGGCAGGTGTGGCTGTTTGAGCCCCCACCGATCCTGGCTCCTGCCCTGTTTTGTTTGCAGAGTTTGATAAATTCCTTGAAGAAAGGGCCAGAGCTGCTGAAATGGTTCCCGACCTGCCCTCGCCCCCAGCAGAGGCGCCCGGCCCAGCCGCCAACCCCTCCAGCCAGAGGAAGCCCGCCCGCTCCGAGGACGCCCTCTTCGCCCTGTGAGCTGGTCTGTGGTTGGCTCCCAGATGGCAGGTCACCTGTCCCCCCCATCCAGGCACCGGCCACTCCTCCGTCCCAGCCCCTCAGTCCTCCGTCCTGCACTGCTGTCTCCACGGACATGCCACTGTGTTTGCTGCCAGGCCTCCCGCCGGGCAGGGCAGCCTCTCTGGGGGGTGGGACAGCTGTGGCCAGAGGCCCCTGACTGCCGCCCACGCGCCCACCGCAGGCTCCGCACCGCTTTCCTGCCGGAGCGCCAGTCACTGCCCTGGGACTGGCTCCTGAGCAGACACCGGGCTGTCTCTCCTCCAGTTGCTTTCTTCACTCAGCATCGAGCCTGGACCAAGGCGGCCGCAGGGCCCACTCCCCTGGCCTGGGGGGAGCCAAGGGTGTGGGGAGGGCGGCCCAGACCACTGGACAGTGGGCGCTGGCACCTGGTTAGCTCCTGTGGAATTGCACTCCGCTGCAGCCCCACTGTGTGCTTCCCTCTCGCAGTGCCCATCTGGGGGGTGGCATGGGTGGTGTCTCTGCTAGTTTGGGCAAGCTTGTGGGCCTGTGAGCAGGCCGTGCGTGGGGCTTTGGCCTGGCCTTGGCAGCCTCTTGTGCCAGGCTTGCAGACCAGAGGCCTGCAGGGCCAGAGCAGCACGGAGGCCCCTGCTCTGCTCCTGGGCACAGCCCCAGCCTCTCCACAGGCTGTTCTGACATCCTGTCCCCCTCCCCAGACCCCTGGCCATGGGTTTGTATTCTCTCCCAGCCAGCCAAGCAGCTAGCAGCCTGGGGCTGGTCCTCACCGGGCGCCTCCTGGCCCCGGTGAGGCACCAGAGCCTGATCCACGCCGAGACTGGGGCGCAGCAGCTCAGCACCCCGTGGCCTCCGGGCGCGGTCAGTGCCAGCGGGCCTGCCCCAGTGCTCGGCTCAGGCTCGGCCAGGCCACCGTGTGTCCCCAGCCCAGGGCGCAGAGCCTTCCCGCCTGGGCTGCCGCTCCGACCAGCCCGCGCCACGTCAACAGCACAGGACTGTCGGGTGGGAGGCAAGGGGTGCCCCAGACTGCCTCCGGGAAGAAGGCTTTGGGGCCAGGCCGTGGCCCCTGGCAGGACCAGCAGGGGACGCCCCACGCCAGTCCTCAGAGGACCCCGAAGCACAGGGAGCTTGGCTGCCGCTTCCAGGCTGCATCGGGCGACAGGGCCAGGCCTCAGCCCTGCACCCGCAGTGGCACGGCCTCTCCTTGTCCTGAGGGCGAGCTCCGAGGCCAGCCTGGAGGCCACATGCGGAGGCTGCAGGACTGTCTGAGCACCGGGGACTCGGGCCGCTCCTGCGGGAGCAGAGCCAGCTCCGGTCTTGCGGATGCAGAAGGCCCCACAAGCCCAGGGGCTGAGGGGCTGAGGGGCTGAGGGAGAGGAGCTGCGGGCACCGGCCTCAGGAGGCGCAGCCCTCACACCGCGCCAGGGTGCCCCGGCAGCGGGCGGCGGGCTCCTGTGGGCGGCAGGACGGCGCGGCCCAGCCCCCCCTCACACAGCCCATCCAGGGCAGCGGCCACCTCGGGGCTGGGTGGCCTTGCTCGAGGCCTCCCAGGAAGCGGGACAGGCCGGGCGCTTCGAGGGGCTGCTCAGCTCTCCTGCGCCCGCAGCTTCTGGGCCCCTCCTGGGACCACAGCCCTCAGGCCCTGCTTGGGGCGGGGGCGGGGCAGCCCCAGAGAGGGGAAGCCCCCCGCAGCCGCCAGCCCGGGTCAGTCAGACGCCAGTTACACTACGTGATCCCGGGGTCCGGTCAGCACTAACGGCCTGGTTCCGGGTTCGAGTATTTATTGTCACAGTATTTCCCGGGCAGTGTTGCCTTCTCCGTGTTCGCTGTGTGAGATGGGAAGACGCGGCTCCGGCTGCCTCTGGGCAGGGGCAGCAGCAGCGTGACCCGGGCCCGCCCCGAGCAGAGATGCCAGCTCCCGGCCGGGGCGGGATCGGAGCTTCGTAACGGGGCTTGTTGCCGCCCGGGAGCCTGCCGCCTCGGTGCCCCTGAGGCCTGCCTGCCCGAGGCCTGCCTGGGCCTGCTGCCCTGCCCTCCCGCCCGGGTCCCGGCAGGGCTGGGGTGGGCGTGCTGTGCCTCAGGTCCCGGCTGGGGGGCCGGGGCAGGGCTCGGCCCAGACTCCTGCTCCTCCTCTTCCTGCTAACACCCCCAGTTCGCCTCCACACACAGTGCTTCTCACTCCAGCCCAGCCTTCCGGAAGGTCCCAGGGTCGGTGGGCCCCGAGGGAAAAGCGCCGAGGAGGGGTCCGTGCTCCTCCCGCCTTGAGCCACCACCTGAGCTCCACCTCCCACCAGGACTCGCTCCTCCGTCCATCCCCATGGGCCCGCCTCCGGCCACGCCGGTCCCCTTAGCGCCATGCGGCCCCGGAGCCACTGCTGCCCGCCCGGCTGTGCGAGAGAGAGGACGGCCATGGACGCCTGCCGCTCCGGTTCCCGCGAGGCTGGGGACCGTGGGACCAGGGGAGAGGCGTGCGTGGTGTTTTGTCCATCGTCCCAGGAGCCTGGCGTGGGCAGTGCCCGGCGCCGCCCAGCAGAGCCGGTCGGAGGCGGGTTCTTGCATGTAAACTATCCCAATAAACAAGCAGGTGGTTCCTGTGATCGCTGTGGAGTCGCTGTGACTCGGGGTGGCAGGGCCTGCCCGCCTGGTCCTAGGAGCCCTGGGCGAGGGTGGAGCAGCCTGGGGAGCCCCCCCCCCCCGGGGTCGGATGGTGGCGGGTGGCACGGCCTACACAGCTGCCTGAGGCTCCAGGCCAAGGGACCGTGGCCATCCCTTGTGGGGTGCACTCATGCCCACCAGGAGCACCGGCTGGAGGAGCCGGCCTGAGCTCACAGCACCCTCCGCTGGGCTCCCCGCCCGGCCTCGCCCTCCACAGCGCCCTCCGCTGGGCTCCCCGCCCGGCCTCGCCCTCCACGCAGCCGCAGAGCCCGTCCTCCCCACCTGCTCCTCTCCTCGGGCGGGAGCAGGGCTGGGCACTTGCTGCCAGGAGGGCCCGGGAGCAGGCTGGGCCGGGAGGGGTGCGGGAGCCGTGGTGCTGCCCCTCCTCGGAGCGGCTCGGGAGCTTGCCGGTCCCTTCGCCTCCCTGAGGCCCAGGATGGGCTCCCAGTGGACAAGACCCATAAACAGCCGGGTGAACCGAGCAAGCGCAGCGATGGCTCCCCTCGTGGGCACGTCCAGAATGAGGTCTGGCCCTGGCTGGTGGCTCAGTGGTTGGCGCATCGGGTTTAATTCCTGGTCAAGGGCATGTGCCTGGGTTTCAGGTTCTCTCCCACCCGACCCCGTCGGGTGAATGCAGGAGGCAACAAGTCACTGTGTCATCCCCTGTCCTCCCTCCTGCTCTGAAAGCCAAGGGGAACACGCCGTCCGGTGAGAGCTGAAAGAAGCGGGCTGGAGGCAGCCCTGCACCTGCCGGGGCCTGGGGCAGCCGCAGAGCCAGCGCTCCGGCCAGGCTCCGGCGGGGCCAGGAGTGGACGGAAGACGCCACCCGCCATCCGGGCCCGGACGCCCGCGGGCGGGGGTGGGGGCGGGAGGGGCGGGTGTCAGGAGGGAGTGCCCCGCCTCCACAGGAGCAGGGGGTGGTGACGGCCAGGGCCGCCCTGGGCTGAGGGAGCTGCCAGGAGGGGCAGACGGAGGACTGAGGCCCCAGGCGGGCAGGGCGGCCTGGGAAAGGAGCTGCCGGCCCCTGTGCGGGCCTGTGAGGGCTGTGGGCTCCGAGGCCAGAGCTGTGTCCCCGGCTGGGGGAGGGGCTGGCACCCCTTGTCTGCCAGGACATAGTCCACCTGTGCCTTCAGCCTCGCGCCAGGCAGTGCTGTCTGCAGCCGCTCCCTTCCCAGAACCAAGCAGCCCTGGAGCCCCTCCTGAGGGGGGGGAGACAGGAAGCCCTGGAGCCCCTCCTGGGGGGGGGGCAGGAAGTCCTGGAGCCCCTCCTGGGGGGGGGCAGGAAGCCCTGGAGCCCCTCCTGGGGGGGGGGCAGGAAGCCCTGGAGCCCCTCCTGGGGGGGGGCAGGAAGCCCTGGAGCCCCTCCTGGGGGGGACAGGAAGCCCTGGAGCCCCTCCTGGGGGGGCAGGAAGCCCTGGAGCCCCTCCTGGGGGGGACAGGAAGCCCTGGAGCCCTTCCTGGGGGGGACAGGAAGCCCTGGAGCCCCTCCTGGGGGGGGGACAGGAAGCCCTGGAGCCCCTCCTGGGGGGGGGGGCAGGAAGCCCTGGAGCCCCTCCTGGGGGGGGGCAGGAAGCCCTGGAGCCCCTCCTGGGGGGGGACAGGAAGCCCTGGAGCCCCTCCTGGGGGGGAGTGGGGGGAGGCAGGAACAGCCAGCCATGCTAGGGAGGGAGGGAGGGAAATCACTCAGCTCTATCCCAACTGACCAGGCTCCAGGGGCTCTCACCAGCCGGTGGGACTGGCAAGATGTGTTTTCCCAGCAGGTTAACTGCCCTCCTTAAGGAGGGCCTTTGAGGGGTTTGGGGGAGGAAGAGGAGGCCTGGGGGGGAGGGGGAGGAAGAGGAGGCCTGGGGGGGAGGGGGAGGAAGAGGAGGCCTGGGGGGGGGAAGAGGAGGCCTGGGGGGGAGGGGGAGGAAGAGGAGGCCGGGGGGGAGGGGGAGGAAGAGGAGGCCTGGGGGGGGGGAAGAGGAGGCCTGGGGGGAGGGGGAGGAAGAGGAGGCCTGGGGGGAGGGGGAGGAAGAGGAGGCCTGGGGGGAGGGGGGAGGAAGAGGAGGCCTGGGGGGAGGGGGAGGAAGAGGAGGCCTGGGGGGAGGGGGAGGAAGAGGAGGCCTGGGGGGTGGGGAGGAAGGGGAGGCCTGGGGGGAGGGGGAGGAAGAGGAGGCCTGGGGGGGGAGGAAGAGGAGGCCGGGGGGGAGGGGGAGGAAGAGGAGGCCTGGGGGGGAGGGGGAGGAAGAGGAGGCCTGGGGGGAGGGGGAGGAAGGGGAGGCCTGGGGGGAGGGGGGGGAAGAGGAGGCCTGGGGGGAGGGGGAGGAAGAGGAGGCCTGGGGGGTGGGGAGGAAGGGGAGGAGTGTAAGCCCAAACTCCCCATAGACTCGCACTGGAACTCCCTCTGTGGCGGCAGTGGTGCTGTGCTGGGGGAATGCACTGTCAAATGTAACTGAAACGTTGGCGCTCCAGCTTCCGGGCAGCTGGGCAGGGGCGCGTGGGGCCGGTCAGAGCCTGCCGTGCTCGGCCCTGCCCTCCCGGCGGGGAGAGGCTCCCTGGGCAGTGCGGGGGGGGCGGTCCTGACCGCCGAGCCAGCCGCGCAGGGAGGGAGAGCTGGGGCGCGGGCAGGGTGGTCAGCAGCGTGGGGGCGGGCACAGCCAGGACAGACTCCCCAGCCGCCTGTCTGCCCCCGGAGCTCTCCGCATGGCCTCCCCCACGGCCCCACCACGGTCCTGGCTCCCTGCTGCTAGTGCCCCGGGGAAGCAGCTAGAAGGAGTCTTTACAGCCCACTCTTTTCTAAAAGGAGGGTCTCTTGGCAGTCCTGAGGGGCTGGGGGACCAGAGGCCTCCACAGGCACGAGTCCCAGTGATTCTAGCTTTTTCCACGCTCCTGCTAGAGGCCTGCGGGCCCTCCGAGCCAGGCCTCCGCACTGGGGCGCCGGCGAGATGTGTCCAAGCTGGGGAGCCCCTCCCTCTGGGGCCGGCTCCTCCTCACCCCCCTGTCCACTCTACAAGCCCCTCCCCGCGTGCAGCCTCTGGTGGTCCCTGAGCCAGTCACTGCCCAGGCCTCCCCCGACCCGGGGGAGCCCGGGACGCCCCAGCCTGGCTGGCCCAAAGGGCGCCCGTCACGGAGCCCAGCCTTGCTCAGCGGCCCCTTGTCAAAGAACAGCAGAACCCGGACTTCTGGGACCCTACAGGGCCGGGTAGAGTCGCATCCGACCTTTGGGGCCCGTTCCCTCTCCCTGCTGCCGACCTGACCCACCCCAACCTGTGACCCACCTCTTCCTGTGACCCACCCGTCCCTCCGTCTGCGCCTGGCCCCCCAGGCAGCCAGCAGCCATGGGACAGTCTCCCCTCCCTCACTTGTCATGTCTGTGAGCCTCACTCCTCACCAAGTCCCACCAGCCCTTCGGGAGGGTCCCCTCCATGTGTTCTGATGGCCCTGTGCTGGCCGAGAGGCCAAGAGGCCGGCAGTGACCGCCCCGGTGCTGGCAGAGGCCAGTCTGGACCGGGGGCACCGCCGTCTGCACCAGCACCAGCCGCTTCTGCAGCACTGGCCGCGTCTGTGCAGACAGAAAAGGGGGGGCGCCAGGGCTCCGGCTGTCAGTGTGCTCGCCCCGCGGCCGCGTCCCGGCGGGTCCGGCTCAGCTCCCGCAGAAGCCAAGCACGGCAGGCGGGCGGGCCCTCGGGGGGAGGCGTCTCAGCAGCCGCCTCGCAGTGCCAGAGTGGCCAAGCCTGCCGTCTCCTGCACTGCCTGCCCTCCACCCACAGTGGGCATGGCTTGGCACGAGGGACCTTGGCAGAAGCCCTGCCTGTGCTGGGCACCTGCCCCACCTGGTGTGCAGCCAGAAGATGCCTCACTCAGACCTCAGGGGTGCTCTGGGGGAAAGGAAGGGGTGCCCGTATTTCACGTTGGCAAAGCCAAGGTCATCCAGGGAGGGCTGGGCTTTGGGGCCACAGTCCCAAGGGCTGGAGGCGTTTGGTGGAGGGTGGGCCACTTGGGTCAGCCTCCCGGTCTCCAGGACACACCTGGCGGCTCCGAGCCACACATGGGGCCTGGAAGCTGCCAAGAAAGCAGACCCCGCTGGCGCTGGCACCACGTCTCCCCGCCCCCAGGTCGCACAGGCGAAAAGCATGTGAGCCAGGCCTGGCTCCTCGGAGCTTCTCACTGACATCACCACGTCACCCCACTCCAGGCAGGGAGCCCATTGGCTGCGCCAGGCCTGCGGGGCGAGGCTTGTCTGGCTCTGTGCCCCCCTCCCCCTGGGTCTCCGGTGGCTGCCCTGCCAGCCCGCTGGGTGACAAGCCAGCGGCTCCTCAGGTTGCCGGACTGCCATGCACGTGGGCCACAGGGCTGTGAACTCCTGGGCGGCGTGTCCCCTCGCCTCAGTCTCCACATCTGTGCATTGGGAATGGCAGCCCGCCCGCCATCAGATGGTTCATGTGGGAAGCACCGTGTCATCGCAGACCCCCATCTGCCAGGCGGGACCCTGCCTTCGAGGCACCCAGGAGGGGGCCACCACGATGGCACCCAGCTTCCCAGCCCAGGGGAGCCTGGGAGCCGGCTTGGAGGTCTCAGCTCTGGGGACGGCGTGGGGATGGGCACCTCAAGGAGAAGCAGCCGGCTCCCCCACGCTGGCCACTCAGGCTGTGGCGCTACTGGTCAGTCCTGTACCTGTGGTGGCTCCTGCCACCCCGTTTCAGCGGGTGTCCTGTGGACTGGGCCCTGCTCCTTCCCTCACCCAGCCTGCTCCTGCCTCGCGTGGTAAACTCCCTTAGGAGGGAGGCGGTCTGCCGTGCAGTGACTCCGCGGCCGGCGGCCTCTGCGGGGCGGGAGGGCTGTTCTCATCGTATTAATAGCAGAGGCTCAGGAAGGCGAAGTGAGTGGTCCAGTCACAGTAAGTGAAGAGCCGGTCAGCTTCTGGCTCTGAAGAGGGGCTTGAGGCTCCCCAGCTGCCCTC